GTTTTTGTTTTTTTCAAGATCCAGTCCATCTTGTTACGAAATGGAGAAATAGGTTACTATCATCAACAACTGACTTACACTTTGGTTTCGATAAGATTAATATAAGCCACATCAAAGCATTGATTAATGATAGTCATTATACAAAACTGGATCACGGTCTTACTAGCAGCGATATTAATCCAAAAGATCGTCAAAATTACAATTCATGCATTAAAATAATATCAGATGATGTGATAAATCTTTTGATTAATAGTGAAGATACAAATGGAACCGTTGATTATTTAACTTTACTAAAGATGATTGGGAAAGCTTATATTGATAAAGCAACATCCATTAGTGAACGTAAGTTTATTTGCTATCTGTAAAAACAAAAAAATCTGAACTTATTTATCTTGAACAATTTTATATATTTAGGCATACGATCGGCATGGTGTGTCGTATTTGTTTGCCGTATATAGTGGTCGTGGTTAAAAATAACCTCGTTATCCAGTTCATCAAAAAGCAAAGTAGCAAGTGCAAGAGCAAGGACAAATAATGTAGACAAACGTTTTATTTCGAAGCCCGCATATTTATCTGTTGAGTTAAATGCACATAACCTGCTCTATTTAGTGCTTTTAGTGAAACAAAAAAAATTACCTAAGCAAGCACTGGTCAATATACATTTATTTAGTTCTCAGCCATGCGAGTCTATCTTTAGAGACGCAAGGTCATTGAGCGGTTCATTTTCTGCCATGGTCAACTTTACTGTCAACAATTTTATTAGACGTGCACAAAAACTATCAATATTAAATCAAATCAAATATAATCAATCGAAAAATTATTTATCTTTTCCAGTACACCATAAGCACAAACAGGATGATCCATTAATATATACAGATCGATTAGATGAAATAAGTACATTAAATGTTGAACAAATTATATTAGGCACATACAATCAAGCAATTAATATCGTAAAGCATTCAAAAATGTTACACATATTAAACCAAAATAATATAGTTAATTTGAAAGATTTAAGTGATTTTGTATTTGATTGCTTAAAAAGAAGTTCAAAAATGTATGGTTACTCGTCACAAACAACGATTGATAACAATGAAGAGCTTGAATCAGACGACGATGACGATGATGAAGACGAAGACGTAGAGAGTGATGTGAAGTAGATGAACTTTTTGATGAATTATTAAATTCTGACGATGATGATAATGATGAAGAAGAGACATTAAATTCAACGAGATCAAATTTTGATGGAATAAAAATTCTTGATAATATCAACCCTATCTTGAAACACTCTTATTTCAAGATCAAAATAAATGATAAAATTAAATATCTTCACAAGCAATCAGCTTGTTGGTTATTATCAAACAAATCGACAAGGTTATCGAGTGATAGGTTGTCTCGGGTTATGCAACAAACAACCAATACTCATTCATAAAATTCTTGCTATTTTTATTTATTTATTCCTTTTTTCTATGTTTCGCATATAAATAAAACAGCATTTTCTATTTTGCCATTTAAGTAGCATTTCATTTGTTGTATTATTGCCTTAGAAAAACTCTTCATGTACTCTAATATATTACTTCGTATACTTGAAAGTACTTCATGATACTTTGAAAGTACTTGAGAGTACTTGGCCGTACTTTTTAAGATACTTTACGGTACTTTAAATGAACTCGATTGTACTTTGATGATACTTGAGAGTACTTTGCCATACTTTTGATGTACTTGGAGCTACTTTCACATACTTGGATCAACTTGAAGTAACTTTTGTACTTCAAGTCTGCTATTTCCACCTCGTAGAAAACACTTTCGATGAAAAAAAATGGATACTTGTATCCGAAATTGTGGGAGATCCAGAGTATTCTTTAGGAACGTCTAAGCTTTCTCATGCGCACTCAACCGTGAAAGTGCGAGTCTCAGAAAATTTTTTACAGAGTCTATTTTGTAGAACATTTTATGCTGGTCATTTTGGTAAAATCACTTTCATTTTTCGTCGAACAATAACGGAGATACAGTCAAAATACTAAAAGCCCTAAAATGTATCAACACTCTGAAAACACCAAAGCAATATATTGAGAGCTTGTCCAATTTTTAGGGCTTTTAGTATTTTGACTGTATCTCCGTTATTTTTCGACGAAAAATGAAAGTGTTTTTACCAAAATGACCAGCATAAAATGTTCTACAAAATAGACTCTGTAGAAACTTTTCTGAGACTCTCGCACTTTCACGGTTGAGTGTGCATGAGAAAGCTGAGACGTTCCGAAAAAATACTCTGGATCTCCCACAATTTCGGATACAAGTACCCATTTTTTTTCATCAAAAGTGTTTTCTACAGCATACCGGAAATTTCGACTGAAAAAAGATCGAAAAAAAACCCTTTTTCAAAAAGTGGCTGGGTCTCCATATTTTCACCCATTTAAACGATATATTCTCTTGTCTTTATTGAATTATTTATACGGTAGTCGTATCCTCTTCAATAGACAATTAAAATATGCGCCGATATATTTCTTTCTTTAAGGCATCATCTATATTTCACTAACACAGTTCAACAACTAAAAATAAAGAATAAGGGATATTTTAACCAGGGACATTTTTTTTCAAGGACATTTTAGACCGTATTCAAACGAATGTGTCATTCGGTGAGGATAAAAAAAATATATATCAATACTCATAATCATATCCAAACGCTCACTGCTGATTAATTCATGAAATAATAGTTTTCGTTTATTAAATTTTTTTAGCGAAATTATGTCACAATAAGAATGAACTTGTAACGCAGGCTGTGGGTGTAATAGAAAGAAAAATGCATTAACGCATCAGCTCAATACAAATTCAGTAAATGATCCTTTTCTTAGGAAAATACAGCGAGTTATAGTCGCTTCGAAGGATACATATTCAACGTGGAATATCCACCTATGTTTTAGATCAACCATCTATGTAATTGTACTGAGCAATTCGATCAGTGTACTTATGTTTATTGCTCTAGCGCAAATACAAAACCGGAGAGGACATTGAATTACAAGAGTTTGTTTGATATGTTAAAAAATAGACTACAGTTAGTGCAAATCAAAGATTCAATTAAAGTGGAACAGGTAAAAATTTAAGATCTTTTTACAAGTGCTACCATCGTCCATAGTAGTATAGTAGTGCTGGCTAGTTTAACCAATGTATCAAAGTAATCTTTTTGCTTGTCTGATTGGTCAATTTGTGGGCTATTTTGATTAAAATTATTTATCGATTGTGCATTTTGATTATTAGCTTGTTGCTGTTGTTGCCATGTCAACATCTGTGTTAACTGTTGTGGCTGTGCTTGTATCTGCTGAAATATTTGTTCGTTTTGATTAAGAAGAGCTTGTGTAACTACTGAAAGATTTTGCTGTTGCTCTTGTTTAGAGCGAATAATGACTTCTAATTTGAGATCTTGTTCTGTAAGATATTTCGGCATCCATTCGTAGAATTTCTCTAACTCTTGAGTAGTATTATCAGCAGTATTGTTGTCATCATTGAAATGTTCGTTTCGGAATAGTTCTAAAGTATCAGGAGAAATCTCTTGGCAAAGTCGCTCCATCAGTTTAGATAATTCATTCGTTGTGAGATGTCTCAATTGAAGATGGTTCTTCTGGATTGCTTTTTTATAATCGGAAATTATTTTATTAATACGATCACCCATATCGAGCGTGTTATCATTTGTCGTAGCACTGCCCATTATTGTATTGAGCGAATTGATATTTGTTTCAGTTGAAGACGCCGGAGCTATATTTAGAAAAAAATTTCAAATATGATTCTACAAAAGAACAAACAGCTTTTACTATTTGCTGTTTGATTTTCTATTTCATTCATGCTTTCAATTTCTGCCAATAGATCACGCAATGATGTATCAAAATCTTTTTCCGGGGAAAAACTCTATATATTTTCTATCAGTTTCAATCATTGCCAAGTCACTACTCGGTTTGAAATCTTTTTCCATATGACAAGGAATGTAAAGGATTTTGTTTTTCACAGCATACTTAGCTTCTAAATAGATTCACTCATTAGTTAGAACGAATAAAATAGTCAAGTGATTTTGATTTACCCATCATGCAATAATGGCTGTCTTGGTATTCGTGATTTGTGAGCAGAAGAACAATAGAAGAATTTTCAAATGCCTTCGCCATACTACCTATTATGCTACCATGTAAACATCGAGGGTCTCGCCATACCCTGTATCCTTCGTCCTGTTCGATAAAACATTGGATTGCATATTTATAAATTAGTTATCTGTTACCTGAAGAATCGTATCAATTTTCTCACTGATCTCGTCGCATGTGCCATGTTTATAACTTATCATAATGTATCGATTTTTTTGAAGTTTTTGTTGATTATTGACCGTAGTTACAGAACTCAGTTGGGTCTTGTGCTGGATCTTCAACATACAAACCAGGATTATATAATCACTTATATGCATTATGCAAGATTTCTCTTTCGTATCTGGCAGGGATAGCAATGGCTCAGCAGACAGTTGATATTGATCACCACTGATAATAGTTTCTTCCTCTGCGGTGCTGCTTTCATCAACATCAGTTTGTAAGTGTCCCTTTGAACTTATACTTAGTCTGTTACCATCTTTAATTATCTCCAAAATTCCGTCTATTGCCACAATAAATTCTCCAACATCTACATCTATAGAATTCGATGATTGAGATAATTATTGTAGAGTACAATAATATTATCTACCGTGATACTACCTGTTATAGACGTTGGGTATTCGTTCGTGCACGGTTGACCAACCGCATCAGTGCTTTCTGATCGTGATAGACATTGATCAATATTCTCATCATTTAAGTCTACAAAAAAAATTTAGTATCGTGATTAATACGAAATATGACTCACTGGAATCCATGGGTGTATGATCTGTCATAGTTGGCGGAAGAAAGCGTTCAATAAAATTCTGGAGCGATTTTCTTTCCGTGTATGATGAAGTCTTACCTGGCTGTTGTTGCCAACAATTTAAAAAATTTTATTTTATTTCTGTTTCACTGTTTCCCTATTTTTATTTTTTACCGACACATACGAATAATGGACAACGAGAAAAAAAACAGATAAAATATTTCCACACATTTTTACGGCCACTTTCTCTCAGGTTCGTTTTTTATGTTCCTTTTTCAAGTGGTTGCTTACATTCAAACATTTTCTTTATCATAAGTTCTGGCATGGCAAACGGGAATGAAGCAGACGACTAAAATTGTAAATATTTTTAAAATAAATAGGATTTTCCCCGCATTCTTCAGCTTCTCAAATATTTTCGTTTGAATTCGTCGAGCTAGAACGAAATGAAGTAGAATAGTCGCCATTCACCGAATAAATGCGGTCACCGAAAATAATCCGGATCATATACAATCGATTCTATGTTCAATATTTCACTTTCCAATCATCTCAGCTGTTAACAGCATCAGTTCTGAATGTGGCTGCTAGCATAAATAGAAAAAACATTGACACTTTCACGATTCGTAACTATTGATGAATTAGATTTTCGCCGACAAACCGGAGAAAGAAATCAAAACTTAAGTTAATCGAGTCCTGTAGCAATTATAGGTCAATATTCGATATTCGTTTGTCAAAAGAATTAATCTGATAAATTTACATGTAGGAATTGACATTTTTTTAGATGTCTCGTCCGTTAAAATCTTCTTCACTAACATATACTTTGAGTCAGAAACTCATACAAATGGTAACAAAAGAAAAAAATTATTGAATATATTATAATTGAATTAAGATCTAACTTATTTGGTAATCTTGATGGTGCGACAGCGATTCGAATTTGAAGTTTTATTATCAGTAAATTTAAAATAAACAAAGTCAAGTTGGATCACTTCATTCGATGTATTACGGAGAATTTCAAGACTTCTGAAAATTCTCCTACTGATGCTTTTACAATAGATTTTTAATTTTTCATATACATATTTTATGCAAAAATTGGAAGAAAATTTTTTTTCTGTTCCACTTTAAGATCAGTTCTTTGCCTGTTGAGTTTTTACATTTCTCATCAGTTTTTTTCATCTGACATGGTATTTTTAGTTGAAAGAATCGATTGAATTTTATTATAACTTGTTTGCTCCGTGTATATTTTTGAAAATCTCAAATTAATTTCATATGCAGCCGACAATTACTGTTTTGAATTGAAACGCTCTCTCGTATATTATATAGTGTAATCAGAATCTAAAATAGTCATATTTTAATGTTTACTTAAACTGAGAGTAGTTTTATGTTCGATCAAAAAATGACCAGGATAGTTAACTGTGTCTTAGAAGTTAAATACTCACTTCAACTTTAGTTTCTCGTAGACTAGCGATGAAAAGAAGTAACAAAGTCTAGATCCTGATTGAATTTAGTTTGACTTAGTCATTTCAAAAATCAACATGTTACTCCCTACTAATATTCTTTCTTTGAGCTAGTGGCTTGTTTTTTTAATTTAGGTTTTTAGCACAATATGTACCATATATCTCATTGAGCTTTGGTACGAATAATGCTGGGAATAGTGGAATTTCATGAAAAGAGTATATGTTTTCAAAATTGAATAAGCTAAAATGCATCGTGATAATATTACAAATATCGACAAATCGTAAAAGATTTTCTTGTCAAATTTATCAAACACTTATTTTATAGTGTAGTGCCGGCTATTTATCAGAAACAAATGGACTTAGTTCTAACTTTTGAAATCTTATTAATCTACTGTAAATTCGGCTTTCTCAGCTTTGTTTATGCAAACAATTTTTATTTGATCTCAATTATTAATTTCATCGACTTCAAATGCTACTCGCAGACTATCTCAATAGATCAGCAGAAGAGTCTTATAGAAAAACACTTAGAGATAATAATCCGTATATGGCCTGACTTTAAAAAAAATCAAATGGCTATGATTGTCTACTGATTATTCGCACTTATCAAAATAATATTCAGAAAATAAAAAACAAACGGAACTAGTCGTATCTGTACTGGTTTTTATTGATATCGAGAAGAAAAAAACTACAGATTGCAGCCTTGGCACTCACTCATTCTTCAATTTGCATTACAATTTGTTTCATTCAAGAGAAAATTAAACTTAAATTCAAGATTTTATTCGTGGTTTTGTTAATGAAATATTCAATCAATAATGAACATGTTTACAATATCTTCGTCTTGATGCATGCGTAATAATCTTGGTCAACATAAAAAGAAGCGGGAAATTTATATTAAATGTGGGTTTTTTTCCTTTTTCCTTAACTGCATTTTTTTGTGCGTCCTTGAAACACGGTAAGAAATTTCGACAATAAAAAAAAGCTTGACTAGAAAAAAAAAATACCGGCAACAAAAAAACAAGAATAACCGTGAGCGCAGACCAAACACAGAATATGCGTATTTTCTTTTTCTTTTACTCCTGCGTAGGATACCTGTAAACGGCGTCGTGTACACGTACTTTTTCTTTCGTGATGTAGATGCGAGAGTATTGGCTGCGACGGTAAGTAAATGGAGAAAATGTGTCGTCGACCAATTTTACGATAAAAAACAGCATTTTCTTTCATAGTTTTTTCTATATTTCAATCGCATTAGAAATGACCAAGAATTAGAATCTAGTAAAAGCGCATATAGCAATCTTTCAAAGTGTTCGCTTGGGTCTGAATTTCTTGAAATCTCTGCGTTTATTCAAGGTCATTATGTGGTGAATGTTGTTTTGATAAACATCAACAAGTTGTTGAAACATGAAAAATTCCTTTTGCTTATTATAAAACAGAAAATATCGTCAAAAATTAAAAAAGCGCTCTTTTTACATAATGATAGTAGCTGCTTTGGTAACTACCAATAGGCAAATTGAGTTTCATAGTTTTCTTTCCTTACCAACATTTACTAATGACGGTAAAGTATACACCTATTTCGCTTATGATTGACAAATTCCAATCAGCAAACTCGTATTTTTTCAAGCGTTTTTTCTAGCTTGTAAGTTCATTTTGCCTTTTTTATTCGATCATACTTTGAATGCATATAGGCAACTGCCTTCATACTAGAATCAATTTCAAATAATACAAATAATTGTAAAATTATTTCGTTAGTTTATAGAATTTTGATAAAAAATATTATTACTTTGCTAATAGATATTTAAAACTATAACTAAAACATTGAAGTCAGCGATGAAAATAAATCCTGGTGGCTGAATATATTCGTTTATTTATGCGCAACTTATACTTAATATATCGCTTGTAGAAAGAAAAAATGTAAAAAGCAAATAAAGTAATTACTTTCTTTCATAGTACTTATCGTTTTTTTCATAGATGGTGCTTTTACAACTGCAAATACAACTGAAGATCTGTCCGAATGCTTCTCAATGATTCATTTAAACGATCTGCATCACTATTGTGTTGACGTATGCAGCAAACCTACAGTTTCAATATTCTGAATAGAGATCGTTGTGGCTCCTCATATTCTAAGCCACCCAAGCCTGTGACAGCGACAATTTTTTAATACGATTCTCATTAGATTTCCCAACCTAAGACTCGACCGTAATCTGAAATATACTTTTCAGATTCTTTTACGTACAAAAACCCTTACACTCAGCATTTTCCCAACGTTCTGAATCTCTTGTCTTTGTGGGCTTTCATTTTTATTCTTAATGAAAATGTCGCCCAAAGAAACTCTATCTAAGCTGCCTCCATAACGATCTCTATTCTGAATATTACTACTTAGTTTTGCACATGTATCCGTATGTCATAAATGCAGAAACTTGCACGTACTTTGTTCCAATGTTAGAAGTCAAAATGACGTGGTTTCACCAATCTCGACAATCAGTACCAATATCCTGTCATATTACTTGGCATGGCTGTCCATAGCTTCAATAGTTTGATTATATGCTCATGTGGTCTAATCAAGATACAAAACTTAGATGAATCTGCATATCGACTGAAACTCAGCCTTTTCACCTATTTCTCAGATTTTTCTCCGACAACCTCAACAGAATATGAAAAGATGACCGAACTATTCTCTAGCAGCACTATTTTACTTTCCTTTGACTAAGACCTCCCTATACCCGCATGAAAGATAACTTATTTCCACCAGCCTTTAGCAAACCCAACCTGTGTATCGAAATTTTGTTCAATCAAGAACATAAAATTTTGTTTCTATTACAAAAACGAATTCTCTGTTTCGTACTGTAACATTCTACTTGATATCCGAGCCTATAGAATCCAAAGCCTCAGATCCTCAAGAAACGCTGAAACCCCCAGATATACTAGTCTCAGAAACTCTTCAAAAATCTGTAATCATTTCATACAATGTTACTTTTGTGTAGGTCGACAACTGATACTTCTGAATCTCTTTATACTTACAAACCGATTTCTTCGACAAGATCAGGTAAATCCGTCAAAACCATGTAAAAGTCTTTGTGATTTAATTCTACAATTTTTTGCTTTTATTAGCCACGTCGACCAAATCTAGTCCGGATCCCGAGACACGATCAACAGAGCACGTAAAACTTGTCAAAGTAAGATTAACTGTGCACAAATAATAGTTTCAATCATTCCTAAAAATTCTGTTTCCTTAGTATCAAACTCCAATTAAGCGGATTGTTGTGGAATCTGCGTCGCCTTGTTGCAATGATCTCCTCGATCTTAGACTCGAATGTGTTGATGGAAATTTTGTCGATACAAGTCAGTGTAAAATATTGTTTTTCTTTTAACGGGAGCTTCAGAAATCGGTATTCTTTGAAAATTTTATATATTGACGAATTGTAAGATAGAGTCTGAATACAAATTGCTTAGTACCGATCCGTCTATGAAGCAATCGACTTTTTACTCATATGAACAACTTTTTCTAGGTTCTTTGTTGCGAGAAAAGACTTTTCAGCGAAATATCAATGTTTTCATTGCGACTCTTGATATAAAACTGCCACCGGATACATTGGCTAAATATGACAATGTCAAAGTTGAACCGTTTGATGATGAATGTGTCTTTATTGCAAAAATATTATCCATTAAAGATAAATTAATTTATGTTGTTCTACCGATCGCACTGGGCGATTTCGTCGTACCATTAATACACAATCATAGATGCGTTGAAAAAATTTACTTACATCAACAATCTGATGACGCAGAATCGACTGATTGGATACAAGAATATCCAAAAATTGGTGGTAATGGATCATCCATTGATCTTCTAAAAGACAGTATGATACAAGATATTAATACCATTATGAAACGCCCTTCACGTTGGTCAAGATCCAAAACCTTATTGAATCAATTATCGTCGCAGAAGAGTAAAGTTGATGCATTAGTTCCTATCGAACATACAGTCACAGATGATCTAATTACAATTCGCATTGTCATATTATTTATCGGGCCACGTCAACCATTTCATCTGTCTCGCAGTAAAATTGAAATCACTGAATTCGATGATATTGAAAAATGTATTCAATCAATTCAAAATAATAGCTCAACTCCAGTTTATCTGATTATTTCAATGGGAAAATTCCAAGATATACAGTCGATAGTTGAACTGGATCCTGTTCATGCTGTCTATATTGTAATCGATCCGGAATCGAATAAAATAGTCCAATCAATTTCAAGTTATTCGAAATTGAGCGGTATATTTGTTCTTAACGATGATCTACTTGATCAACTTATCAGAGATATTTGTTTTCATCGTCAGATTAGTTTTCGTTTACCAACAATGAATATTTTCAAACTGGAGTCAAATATTCTCAGCAAGCTTAACGAGCGCCAAAAAGACTTCTTATGCTTTCAACTGTTTAGTGGCATCCTATCAGAGTTACCATTACAATCAACTACAATTACTGATAGTAACATTCACATTAAGGATGGTCACTTACTTGCTGATATAATCGAAGGTAATACTAAACTCAATCATCTTTTTAAAGATTTCAGTACAACTACATTACAAAATTCAGCAATAACTTTGAAAGAAATCGATCAACGGATTGCATCCTTACCAAAAACTACCGATTCAACGCCTGACACAGTCTATCGAGCTCAAATTGTGTCAAAGAAAGATTTAGAAATGTTGCAAGCTAATTCTGATAGTCTTCTTGCAATACAAACTTTTGTTTTAGCTTCCCGTTCGTTTCAATCTATAGTTGATATTTGTCGTCAAGCAGTCGATAATGAACTTAGTGTAGTTCTCTTCGAGCTCAAATTGTCTGATCAAGCATCCGTACCCAGTCTGGATCCAGAGACAGTCATTTTTAGTCTTGGCACTCTGTTTCGACTAGTTTCAACGGAACCAGGGCCCGGTGGTGTCTGGCATGCTCAACTCGAATTAGCTGATGGAAGCATGAATAGTATTACGAACCGACTTCGCTCTGAGATCGGTGGTCATCTTACATGGTTGACATTCGGAAATTATTTGACTGCTTTTAAACGATTTGATACTGCAAACAACTATTATGAATATCTGTTACTGGTACTTCCATCAGATCATTCGAGTCGGCGATCTATCTACAACAACATGGGCTTGATGTATGCTGAAACGAATAATCATACAGAAGCATTGAAATTCTTTGAGAAAGCAACGACATTCCCCGTCAATAATTCGGCTGTAGAAATGGAACAAAAAGTTCAGTCTACTGCTTGCGTCTCAACTTCTCAGTCATCTACTCCCAGCAAGATCGATACATTAAAAAAGATAGCAGAAATTAGCTATGCCCAAGGCAATCAGAAAACAGCACTTGAATATTATCGTCGTGCACAGGATATAGCGCCAGATGCGACTCTGCGCCAGTTTTATCAAGAAAAAATTGACAAGATTCTGTATTCTGATGATCTAAAGAAAACTTAATTGAGATTTGCTCCTTTTCGAAAACTAATTTTGATTTTTCTTCATACTTTTTTGTAATTTTCGATTTGTAGATTCAACCATTAAATTAATTACTACATGGATATCTATCAATTGAAAAACTATTTTATTATTATTTTTTAGAAAAGTCGCTGTAGAATATTCAATATTATTTGACCTTGAAATGGTTCGCAAGGAACATTTGGTTACTCATCCAAATTTAATGAGCATTTGGTATCATGATCAATATGTTTCGATTGATGTTATGCAGCACATGAAGAAGCATCTTTATAATAACTTTGCTTATTCACGTATCTTCAGTAAAACAGCGGATTTAATAGATTATCTTGCCAATCCGCTCGTAATTAAAAGTATAGTTTTCATCTTAAGTATCAAGAATGAGAAGGAAGCATATCCCATTACCAAGATTGCTAAACGGCGTCCGGAGTTTCGAAGCTTACATATATTGCCACGTGAACTATACGTGTCTTCGCCACTTCCAGACACTGTAAGTGTTCATTCTCTTCTGAAGAAAAGTTTCAAGAAAATTGTTAACGAACTACAAGCCGAAGAGTCATCACGAACTACTGTACCTCAAGAGGACAATCAAGAAAATATGATAGGCGAAGTGCCGCATTTTGACACTTTCAAGCCTATTTCTGCACAGAAATCGTTTTGTGATTTGAATAATGAATCTCTACAATTCCTTCTATTTCAATCTTTAATTGAAGCACTCGTAAAACGTCAATATGAGAAAGATGCTTTTAGTTATATGTGGCAGATTTTACGTCAAGATTATGCAAGTAATCCTGCACAAGTGGAAAAAATTTGGAAATTGGCGACGGAATATACACCACAGAAAGCAATTCACTATTACACTAAAACCTCCGGTGTTTTTCGACTCATCAATAAAGCTTTTCGAATGGAGGATGTTGAACGCATTTATCGGTTTGGTTGCTATTTAGCCGACCTACATAAACAATTAGAAGAGACAGGAAACGAGCAAAGATTAAATCAAAACAAAAATATCAAGAAGACGTTTCGAGGGAAAAAAGTTGAAAGGGGTGTTGTACAACAATTGAAAGATAGTAAAGGGCATGTTATCGCCTTAAACGGACTGCTCTCAACAAGCACCGACCCTGAGGTCGCCAAAATGTATTCAGGAGGTGAAACAATTCAAAGTGATTATCAAAATGTCACATTTGAGATGCACATCGATTTCAGCACGACAAAATTACTCAGACCATATGCAGACGTTACGAAGCTTAGTGAAATTTCTGACGACAGTGAAGTTCTATTTTTCACAGGTTTTGTTTGGAAAATAGAAGACGTGGAAGAGTCACCAGCAAATGTTTGGCTTATTAAGCTTCGATCATGCACAGATAAGGATGCTGACCTGTTGGAGTATATTGAGGAGGCAAGACGTGACTGTTCCTACTTAACCATCGGTACAATTTTGCAAGAGCTCGGTGATCATGCTCAAGCAAGTAACTTTTATCAACGTATGCTGAAGGATGAAAATCTTACTGATAAAATTCGCTGTGACATCCTTGTACATCAGGCCAAGTTAGCCGAAAATCAAGGTGAATATTTGCAGGCGCTAGAATATTTAAAAGTAGTGGAATCGGTCAAACTTGAAACAGCATCGAACCCCAATCAGTCAGCACGACTACGACCGCTTTTCGCGCACAAAAATCTCACTTCTAAATTGCACATTTTTTATAATATGGGTATGTTGTATTGGAAAGATGCGAAGTCTAAATTAGCTCGACAATATTTTGAAGCGGCTCTTCAACAAAAAGGATCCGATGATGAACTAGCAACCGTGCTGAATAGTTACGGCCGATTCGAATTCGGATTTGGAAACATTCAACAAGCTCTTAATTATTTACAGAAAGCAGTGCAACTCGCTAAAGATGATGAGCTTTTATCGGATTGCACCAAAAATCTAAGCATGATCCGGGAACATGTGCGATAGAACTGATGGTAATCTTCAAATGGAATAAGAAGAATAAAGAATTTCAATTAAACTCATTGTAATTAACATGTAATTTTTAGTATACTAATGTATGATTGTTTAATAGAATAAATCGATGGAAACGATAACAATTAAATAGGTGAATCCTGATAGAACCTATGAATATGCTGAAGTTTTAGGCTGTTTGATCTATTGATAGGCCAGAGTAATCTGTCACAGTATTAATACAACGGTCAAAGCATTTATCATCATATTTTCAAACTAAATAAGCTAAGTATACACCGTTTAACTGAATATATATATATCTTAGGGTGTGAGTGTGAACATGGGTGTGAATCTTCACCCCATTCTGCTCATACGCATTGATAACAGTAAGTGCACCAATAGAGATATACGAAGTATTCAATATTCTGTATTTGTAAGCATTGCACTCAGCTGCACGTAAATAAACTCAAGTGTGGGTGTGGGTGTAGTAACAAACCGTCAACCCCCCACCCCACACACCTCCATACAATTATACGATATCATATACACAACTATTGAACAAATAAGAAAATAAATCTAGGCTGCATAGTTCGACACAAGTATGAAATATCGAAAAGTGGTTGATTAATTTCTTGGATTAACATCTTACGCTTGTTTGGTAAGGCAAGCGTGAACCGATGAAAAACAATTATTGAGTGTAGTATCGCTAGTCACATTATCCAGGTGTTGCGTTTGGTTTCCAGATGTATCAGTTGTTTCGATAGCTGTGCCAGAATTCTGATAAATGATCTGTGTTCTCGTTGAAACCGTCTTAGGTTCTAAATCTAATTCGCCAAATTGATTTGATGGTTCTGCAACTGAACGATTGGAAACAAAATTCTAGAGATGAGCAAAACCGAGAAAATAATATTTTTCCAATAGAATTTTACTTACTTTTGGTTTACTACGATAGGTGTTTACGGCTTCAACAGAAAGTGGAATACTTTCCATCATACATCCATAGGCCGTTGGTGTTAATTTAATCACTGTATGCAGTGGAACTTCGATATAAGGAACGCTTTCTATATTGAAATAGATATTGATTTGATTGACATGGAACTGATTTCACATAGTTAGTGTTAAATGAAATTGAAGGATTTCTACTAACCTCGATCTTTATCGAGAAAATAAGCAAGAATACAACGAGCAACAGCTTGATGACATACAACAAGTAAATTTTCTGCTCGTTCCAATTCCATAATGACTGGTTCGAGTCGAGCGATAAGATCGTGATAAGACTAAATAAAAATAAACAATGAAAATAACGATCGAATTTTCATTTACTGAAGAATGATGTAAAAACAACTCATTGGAGTCTATAGTATCTAATAGAGTTTTCCGATTGGAAAATCAGCTTCATGCGAAATACGAGATAAGGTTTCAATTGATTTGGAGGATAAATAGAAATACTCATTTAAAAACTAACCACATTAAGTATATCTGTTGATTGAGTTCGAGGATTTACAAACATCTATGACATAAGAAATTGTATGACGTCTTACCTCTCCACCTGGATATCGATAATAGTATTTTGATCGATCACGAGCAGCGAACTCTTCAGGGTAACGTTCGGCTGCTTCCTGATAGGTCAAACCTTCGAAAGTACCCTTAAAAAAATAACAGAGTAGAATTTATTTTCCACCATCAACTTGCAAGAAGCTTTCTTACAGCATGGATACCATTAAGAGCTTTCCATTGCTCTTTGGGTGCATCGATTTTTGCTGCTGTTTCAATTGTTTGTTGCCTTTGACTTGTCCAAACAATCAGATCCGAAATGTTTTCTATATGAAAACGAATACAAAAATTGAATGTTCAAGAAAAGGTACTCACCATTGTCGATATATTCAGCGAGAGCTTCTGCATACTATACAATAAAATACATACAAACAATCGAGAACAAAGACAAACGAGAGACAATTATTACCACTTTTCCAGCTTCTGATAATGGTGCATTACCTCCAATACACTGTTGAACATTTCCTGTCGATTCACCATGCTAAACATAATATTGGAATAAATTATTTTTCATCAACTCAAAGGACCTATTAACTGACCCTGGTAAGATAGATAGTTCTCGGGAGAACATGAATATTCATTAGAAAATAAATGACACGACTTTGAATATTGCCTAGTATGAACAAGAAAAATATGAAATGTAAGTTTATAAATAGATAACACTTACCGCGCGTCTTATGAACCAGAAATCGTTCACCGCAATTAAAAATCTTGATAAATGAATAATGCTTCTCGTCATTTGTATCATCGATCGTTTCGTACTGTTTTGCATAAAGATCAATACGTGACCGAAAGTCTTTGACGGCCACTGTATCCAGTACACCTTTGTAATCAGGACTTTTGAGTTTTACTTCCTAATATATATTCAAATAATCAGTATCGACAAGAAACAAATTTTATTTCAATTGCATACTCGAATATTTGTTTCAATGACTGCCTCTGAATCACAAATTGATTCGACAAAAAGCATACGAAAACAGTGTTTTGCCACACAATGATTGTATACTGTACGACGTCTTTCACGAGTCGTATTTGTCGCATCAAATATAGCAACTTCACCTTCATTCTGAAGGTAATTGCACATATCTTCTAAGACATGTTGAGCACATAAACTTGAAAAATAAATCGAATCGAAAATTATAAAAATGATCTAATACCAAGAAAAAAAGAATACATACTTTCGAATAGCGACTGCTTCAGTATTATCCGGATCGAAAAAATCCTTGTCTGTATATCCTTTGACAGCATCACGACGATAATCGCCAACATTGAAAACTGTAAGTAGACAAAAATGCAATCTCTATTTTATACATGCTTTATCTTCCAATAGGATTCGTCTATAAGAAAAATTAATGACATGGCTAATATAAATAGTTTCGAAAGAGTACGAAAGACGTGGGAATTATTTTTTCATCTTTATTGATTGATTTGCATGAGAGAAAATAAACTTTCAAAAAACTGCTGATAAAAGAAATCTATTTTAGGGAACAAAACAATTGAAGAAAACTTTTTGACTATATCTGATTTCTATCGCAAAGCTTGTGATCAATAGAATCAATTAAAAGCCATTAGTATTTTTATTTTATCCGATTATGATTATAACCCATCGAGAATAAGTTTTCAACATACGTTTCGTTTTTACTCCAATCCAATGTAAATACCGAGCTAATTTTCGAGCCATATAGGTCTAAAATATCCGTCGATGTTTTTATTTCTGTAAAATACGAGAATCATATTTACTTTGCCACGTGCAGGTAAACCAACCATCATCTGCAAAAAGAATTTTTTTAATATAAACTAAACAAAATACAAATTCCCACTTACAATAACTGTTGGCGTTTGGACGAGTCGATCGAGACACGCTAAATTCGGCAAACAAAATGTAAACCTCATATTGTCTTAACAAAAATAGAAAACGAAAATATCATCTGCTTAAATACGTAACTCCGCATCTTTTTACAGTAAGAGCGAGAGCTTCCAATGAGATGACAAAGTCGCGCCGCGGGACTATTTGTCTTTTATCAGCCTATCATTTGTGTTCTGTGGAATTTATACTAAATACAGAATTTTATTGCACGTCAAATTGGTTCAAAAGCTTCTCATATTTTTATTTTCTCTTTTCAATTGGACTTTAATTTGGCTAATAAAAATAAAACAAACGCGCTCAAACTGTTTTGATAATTTGACACTTCTGATCTCTTTCATTTCTTATTTTTTGTTTTTTATCTGAACACATTCGAAAGGTCAATTGCCTATCGAATATCTCTTTAACATCTATAACGTTCTTACCTTGACTCAGTTGTCTAAATACTCCTGGAGTTCGCTTATTTTTAGTTGGCTGATTCTTTCGCCATGCATGAATGTCGTCATTGAACGATTGTTGTGGTATTGTGGTATTGTTATGTGAATCTAGATCAGGAACAGGATCATCTTCAATTTCTTCTTGTTGGACTGTACCAATTTGTTTTGTCGTTGTATCGAGGAGGTTTTCCATATCATCCGAATTCAGTTGATTCAAATAATTTCAGTAGCAAAAAATGAGCTCGAAAAATGGAGATGATTTACTATGAAATATCCGTTGGAAATTTGATAATTATGAAAACATCTTATTGGAAACAAAAAAACTTCATGATCTCTGCATTTTCATGCCAACTTACTTGATAGCCACAAAGGAAAATTAAAAAGTACGTTCTCGAATTCAGATAAAAAATATTTAAATTAAAAAAGTATGGGTTTCAAGACTTTATGATTGCTTTTCTATCATTTTCCACACATGGGATGCGAACAATGAAATTAGAAAGAAATTTATTGTAGTTATTATTAAAGATAGCTCTATTCAGAATAGTAGTGAAATTCATTCATAAGTTCAATTTGTTCTTAACCTGTGGATCTGCCTAATTATCAATAAAACGCAGACCCTTATTCGTATCAACGGTAAATTCCAGCTTCACCGAATCTTTTTTCCGCCGACTCCAACTTCGCCGAATAAAAATCTTGCCGAAAAATATCGAATCAAACTTGATCCACTCTAGAAATAGAATTTTATTCTAACTAACTACTTTAATAGTGACTTAATTAATTAACCCCACCTGCGTTGATAGCCCACACCCTCAAGAATAGTCTCATTTGAAAGAGCACATAAAAATACATTGAATCATGTTCTCAAAACTTTACCGGATTAAATTTTGGCCTAGAAAAAGTTTTAACATTATTACCAACTAGTGTTTTCGGGAAACTTAATATATATTTTCATGGTGCTTAAAATTCTCTATCACTGTGCACACTAGAAACTAACTAGTGATAATTATGAGAAAGCTAGAATTTGATATTGGTGAAACTATCGAAAAAGGCAATACATAAGAAAACGTCTTTATCAATGATTCACTTTCTTAAACTTTGCGAAATTGTTGCTGTTTGTAGAGCCTGTCATCCTCTTCGCTTTTACCTAATCAGATGAGAAACTTTTTAGTATTGCTACTTTCGCTGCTCTTCTAAATTTCGATTTCATAAGAATCGACCGCAGAAAAAGTGATCGATTCGTAACCTGTTGTTTTTTTAAGTCCTATTACTGAATACATTTCCATGTGATGCATTGTACAAAGACGAGTACTGTATGAAAATTATTCAAGATGCTGAATCTAATTAAATTGTAGAACGCAATTTTATGATGATGGTTTTTTTTTCTTCTTAACTACGTTGGAAGAATCATTGTGATCTATATATGAGCGATGATTACTGCTTCTCCATCCTATACCAAATCTATGTCTACGCACGCAACCTAAAAGATTCATAGATAGTAAAAATAAATGATAAGAAACCTTGAACTTTATTATGTCGTTTCAAGGCAAATGAAGACGCTGAAATCTTTTCTTTTTCTAAAAAGGCTTTTTGAACATGAGTACAACGTACTAATTGATCAAGAATTGAACTGCACTAAGAACTTTCATACGATTCTCAATTTAATCTGAGGATAATACTAATTTTTGCCAAATAAGGCACCATATACTATTCTTTAAATTAGCTAATTGTACAGCGTTCAAAAGTCAATTGTTAAAGTCAGAAAAAATATTACGCAAAGGGCTCGGTCTAGGATATGTTTTTTTTAGTGTACTTTCATATGTGTAAAAACTACAAGAACGTATTTCATCATGCAAAGAACATGCACTCAATAGATGCATAAGGCGTTCGTCAATACGCATATGTATTCTGTAGATCTAAACAAAGAAAAGTCAACAGAATATCGAGAGAAAAATATGCTAATCAAGAGCTTATGGGCGCGAGTTAGAGTTCAGGTCATGCAAATGAAGATACCATACTCACACTCACACCCTTATGTGCAGTTTCGGTTAACATTGACCAATTTTATTCTATCACTCTTAAGATAATGTTCAGAACAGTTTACTTACGTACTATGAGTTATTGAAATGTGCGCGTTTATTTTATATGTTTTCACCCATTTTTTACCTTATCATTGGTAGAATCACTTGGTTTTTTCCGACTTATACTTTTTCATGTAAACTAATCAACCATCACATTTTTATCAGGTAAACAAATATTTTTCATCCTGCATTTTTGTTCGGTATGCGTATTGCGCTCTTACCATATTCTTTTTCTTTATTTATCATTGGTGAGGTCACGTGTTTTATTGGATATGAGCGTGGAAATAGTGTCGCACTTTGCACTACCTGAATCCAACCTAAAACCACACTCTCCTGATATGATAGTTATAGAAATTTGATTGATTTTATCCCCGAATGAGAATGACTCTCTATTTAATTTAAAACGTCTATATCTAAGACTAAGCCAAGCAAAAAATGAGGTTGCAGTGGATTGACATTTTTTTGTGCACATTAAAACTTAATGGGAACTCATTGAGGACAAACGCGCTCTTTTTTTACATTCGCTATAAGCATCAACTGAAAAGTCTTCTCTCAACTAAAACATATTCCAGATTGTGGAGACACGAAAGAAACTATACTTTTGTCAGGAGCAACGATGAGCAAGTCAATGAAATGTAGTTTGCTTAATGAATGCATGATGACATCTAAGACATATCTGCGCTGACTAATTAGATTCTTTATTAGTTCGCTTTATTTTTGTTTTAAAAAATTATGCTGCCACCTCGATGCTGCTAGACTGAATAAAATTACTGTCGCCAACATTTTCTTCGTCTCATATGACTTTTCCTGATTCAAATCTTACTCACTAGATCGATGTAACATTCTATTCTAGTTAGATAATTTCTTAGCGAATCGATTGATTACATGTTTCTTGGTAAGAGTGGGTGTGAGTGAAGAAAAGGCCGACACTCACATCCACTATTTCATGTTCCAGAAATCTGTAAAAATTTTATGCATTAAATCAGTATTTATTTATTTACACTGTTTCTCTCTTCTCTCATTGTTCTTTTATTAAGGATTTCGCAGCTGATTGTAGGCGCCGATGAGCTGAAATGTCACGATATTTAATAAAACTTAATAAATTATTTACAAAGAAATAAATCCAATTAGTTGTTTGATGTGAAATTATTCCAGCCTTTGTCGAATTATATAATATTCGTTTCGAATCGATCTGTAGAGAAGCTCGATTAGTTCCATAATTGATAAAAAGCTAATACCAATCCATAGCCCAGTTTGTGTTTTCGTTCGGGAGCTAGTGTGATACCTACTCTTTCAATAATGGAGTAATTGTATATTATCATGGACTACAGGTACGATGCCAAATGCTTCAAGAATAAATATAATTGATCATATTTTATGAATAGTAGCATTTTGACTTACCGTCCGTCATATACGAGGGATATTGATGAGTATGTATTTTAAAGACCGATAGAGAGCTTACCTTCGCCATCACCGTGATTTTGCATAAACTATAGTTTGATTAGTAGTATTTCTTAGTTTTGCATTGAGTGTGTAAACAAGCACCATAGGTTGCTGATGTAAATGGAATGGAATCGTCCTTGGAGCATGGCATATTATTGAATTTGCATGACCATAGCATCGAAGAAATCGAAAAGAAAAGTGAACTTATTGATTCGTTTTTATTGAGCGTAGATATTACAAAACTCGCGATTATTGAATATTGAAATGCAGAGAGTGTTGTATCGTTGGCGGCTGTCAGATTGTTCTGAATGGAGTAATTTTGAACAGCTTCGAACAACGGATCGAGACAAAATGGTGCAGCATTACAAAAACTAAATCCTGGAAAATACTGCGGCCATTCGCTGATAATTTATGTATCAATATTTATCGGGCAATCAAAATAAGCTACGATCGTTTTTACAAGAAAAAATATCATTATATCAGTAAAATCGAGGAACGCTGTCGCCCAAAAGAGACAATTGCATCGATTGACGCTGCGAATAATGCCAGGCAGTCCATGTACTGTTGTATTTAAACAAAATTCACAAATAATCGAGCAGCGACGACGACGACGTATGTTTTCTGATTGAGTCATCTTCACTTCGCCAATGACTACTACATCAGGCAAGGATTCGCTTTGATTTCTCATGAAAAAGTTGTTATCTTGAAAACAATTACCTTGCCAGCCAATTACGTGTGCACGTAGCAGGTATTAACTGCGCAGTACTGATTCTTCCTAGGCATACATCATCGATGTTTGCCCATTTAAATTCATGATTTGAAAAAACAAGATTATTCACTCCAAACAAAAATCGGTGATTCATTATACTGATTTAACAGAAGCTATTTGTACGTCAAGTGAACTTATGATACAGAATAAATATATAATATATTCTGCCTCATTTCATTGTACAGTTAAGCAATTTTCTGGTTGTTTGAAACATGCACATTAAGTCCAGTGTCGGTATACAGCTCGTACTAGTTCATCTATTCATAAATGACTGGTCTTTTAAGTATTGTCATCATCCTCCGATCTTTTTCATTGATTAGAAATGTTTGCAAAAAAAACACAAAGTCACATCGGGATAAAAAAATTCGTGAATATAAATTTAAAAACCCAGCGCTCTGAGGGATTTGTCTTTATGAAAGTTATAGAACTGAATCGGCTTTAATTCTGTGAAGATTTACTCGTAGAAAATTGTTTGACTTGATGTCTCCTTCGCCATTGATTTCGAGATGGAAAATTAATTGACAAGTGTTGTAGAATATAAAATTTTATCCTAGTCGAATCTCGAAAGAAAAGTGCCTGTCCTGTTGTAGTCTCGAGTTAATCAGACGGTACAATTAGATCGAAGTGATTTTGTACGTCTTGCCCGTTAAAGTATTCGATTAACAGCGTATCAAAATCGTTGCTGACGATCAACAATGATTTTTGTTTTGTGCGCTAAAGACTAGAGAAGTTATTTTATCATGACGTAATTGCAGTTATGATCTCGAATAATTTATTTACTCCGATCTTGCTACATAACCACTTCAGATAAAGAAAACAGCCGTATTTTGACGGAATTTCTTTTTCATCTGCAAATACGATGATTGTTGACTCTTTGTGAATGAGTGCAGCCATGGCTACATAACTTGATCAAAACCAGAAAATAATTCCAATAAAATATATTACCTCCTGGTTTATATGGAATTTTAAAAGTCAAAGAGCGAGAGAGACGGGCGACCAGGAGGTGAAAGACCTATGATAAAAAATTTCTAATTTTCATAATTGTTTATCAAAACGAGAGACTTTGTTGCCATTGTTTTTATGTGCCCATTGATATCTTCGATAATTGCTCACAATGGTAACATATCTATTTTATTCTATTAGAACTAAATGTATAAGAAAACTTTTTCAAATTCACAAATTTATCTTTTCATACGTTTTTATTCAAGCTAGTTTGAATTAACCTACTATTGTAACATATGGCGATTCGATGTCTGATACTCGTAATGCTTATCGAATCTCGAATCATACGCGGCCACCTGTGCCTCCATTTAATTCGAATAGTAGTTTTGCAGATGAACTTCTTTGGAATCAAATACTTACCGAACAGTTATTAATTAATGCTACACTACAAGATTATGCCTATGATAGTGCTACGACTGACAGTGAATTAGCTCATGGTACGATGGGTCGTTCTCCAAATTTGATTGCTAATTATTCGATTCGAAATAGTGCAAAACCGCCGAGTGTTCGACAACAAATATTTGAATATATCAATGCAATGAATACTAAAACGATTGATTTCGACCAAACACTCTATGTTATTCGGGTGGGTATCAATAATTATAATTTAAACAAATCATTAACACCATTACAGACGGTGAAAAGTATTATTAAATGTTTGAATTTTTTGGTACAAGACAGTTAGTTATTATTAACGAACCACCGTTTGATCGATTTCCAGCGTTTCGTAATAAGAATACAACAAACGTAATGAAATATTTATATCTCGAGCATAATAAAATTTTATCGGAAAAAATCAACGAAATTTATTTATCATTAAATAGTCGATTTTCTATTCGTTTATTTGATAGTCATGCATTTACCTCAAAGATTATGAATGATTATAGAAAATATGGATAATTGTTGGGATCGGTGATAGTAATTAATTGTCAAGATATAACAAAAAGAATATTTAATGATGAATATCATCTAACATCGGCTATGCAACCATTACTTGCAAAAAAAAGTTTACATGACATTGACTGGATCAAATCTAATCTCGAAATTGTCAACAATCGTTGCAACATCAATATACACAAAACGTATGACTTGTGTTTTTCTAAATGAAAAATTAAGAAACGCTTCTATCGGTCAATTCGAAAGCAAAAGCTCGAACTAAAAAAAGACGCTTGTATATCATTTTGAATGAATTTTCTAAAGAAAAAAAAATTAATATTTATCTTTTTTTGTTATGTTCGGGAAAAATAAATTGAAATTAATCCTTCTTTCCGAAAAGAGCAACTCTGTTTCTAAAATTGTGAAGACGTTTCTTTTATTAATTGATGATATTATGTGACAGAAAAAAGAATTATTTCTTATGATGTTGAATTGTTGCAAAAAGTGGCATAATTTCATTGCACGTAATACGAAAATCGAATGCACAGGAAACTTGTTTTTTTAATAACGCATGTATATTCGCATGATAATCTCCATTTTCAAGCATATCGATATGAATAGAAAGATCAAATAGTCCACGTTGTTCAACATTGGCCATCCAGGCTTCTGAACATGTGCATGAACATAAAAGAATAAGATCTTTATTTAGAAATTTGTTTCTTAAATATTCATAAGTGTCTTTTAATAGAGCACAAGCTGATATTATTGTAAATAAATCATCTTGTTTGAACAATGGAAATTCAAGATAACCATCAATAATTATCATATCACAAGTGGTCGTAGTACTTAGATTTTTATGTACATCGAATAATGTTGGTAAATAATGAAATTGAATAAGATCTAAATTCGCCGATAGTAAAGATTTTGGTATTAATTTGTGAACCAGCGATGGAATTGTTTGAATTGGTACTGGCGTATAAAAGCAGACTCGTTTACCAATAGAAGCATAAGAAAGCGACGCTTGAAAAAGTAGCGAACGAAAACATTGATCAGCATCGCCGCGAAGTAAACATGTTCGAGCAAAGGAAAATGTAGATTGTAATTCATCTAGTATAGATTGTTCGGAATTATTTCGTTCAGTGAAATTTCCAAGAGGAAATATTGCCCCAAGAATATTCATCTTTTTCAAATAGTTTAAGAGATTATATTGAAATACTATATTCGATTTGTTAAGGAACATGTCTAATAAAAATGATAGCTGCTCGTTCTTGTGATGTCACTATTAGATGGAAAATATAGTGCAAGGAAAGAATAGGAAAGTATATTCTATTTAGACATATTTTCGTCATAAGCGATCAGAGATTATAATTAGTGCATTAGGCATAGAATCAAATAACTCTCTTGAAATTCCTCTACTTTCATTTTCTACTAATGGAATAATTTTGTGCCAAACTGTTACTTACAGAACTGATTCTCCTATGTATTTCTTGAAAAAAATTTTTGAAGTCTCAGGATTAACTGCGTTATCAATTGAGATTATATCAGTACGACACTATTGAATCTTAGTCCAATGAGAAATGCACTCGGTAGTTCGTAAAAACAACCTTTTTTTTTCGATTTTTCCTTGTCACTAATTCTCTTGATGAAGATACATCTAATAGGAATATCGGAATCGAAGAACAAATCGAAGCTCTATATCCAATCATAACTTATCAGTAATCGATTATTCTTCTCTTGTGTTCAAAATGTTCACGATAATAATTTCATGTCTGTGTCTTTTAATCGAGTACATATAAACATCATGCATGTCATGTTGTAATTTCTACATTTCAGATCAAAGACATATAACAATGTAAAAGCAGATGCTCTTCTATACATATACATTCGATTTTATAAGCAAATTTATGTTTCAAACAAGTTCCTGATACATAAAAAAAGAAGTCGAATACAAAGAGCAGTTCCGCTTCCTTTACTCATCTCAATATCAAGCAAAAAAAAACAAATAGAAGCGTAATCATAATCGTTGATCTACTTCTGATTGAACTAAATATGAACAGTTTCTTAGAAATTGATAATCATCTAGCGAAAAAAAAACCTCATATCGACATTGTCAATATAATTGAAATCATGAGTCCTCTTCAATTATGAAAAACAACAGACATCGACATATGAATAATAAGAAGGTCAATGACAAAATAACATTTTTTTCTGTAAATAGAAAAGACTATCTTGCAGCAGAATTTTCTTCCTACTCCCAAGAATTAATTTTAGGAAATTTTGTATTTTCCTTTTTCGTACATATAAAAACCAATCATGATGATGTCCACAACGAATAAAAAAAAATGGAGAAACTGATGCATTGTACAATCATCCCAAAGTATCCAGAGAAAAAAGCTTCCCCTATAAGAGAGAGAGAAAAACAACGTCCAATCATATGCGTTTTTTAATGTCAATGAGAGAGAATCGCAGATAAATTTGTTTTTCTCTTTCATTGGACGATGAAAAAGTAACACAACAGTTACAAGCCAAACATACACAGATCTCATTGACGAATACCAGACATTCACTAGTCCGTCTATTTATCAGTCCGTATACAGGTGATTCATCATACTTGAAATCATGTTCAATGTACCTAACGAATATTTTCTTTCGTCACCATCATCGCCTAGTCTAATATTTAATCATCATCATCAGCAACAACAACAACAACACCATAATACACATTATCATCATCCCTATAGTCAAATATCAGCATCTTACTATCCAACGCACGCATTTGATGATAATCATATTCTACAAAATTATGATCATAATTTAATATGGAATGAAAATGATATCGAAATTGGAGGGCAAACAGGTTAATAAAAAGTTATTTTCTTATTCAAAAGAAATATGTATAATACTAAATAATAGGTGCTCCTCGTGGTTTTAAACGACGAGTATCAGCTAATAAAAAAGAACGTCGCCGTACACAATCTATTAATACAGCGTTTTCCGATCTTCGTACAGCAATACCCAATGTGCAACCAGATACAAAATTATCGAAAATTAAAACACTCAAATTAGCAACAAAATATATTGAATTTCTAATGGATATTTTATCTAAAGACGATTCAACTACTATGCCTAATACATTCAAAGCTGAAATAGTTAAAACACGTCGAGATCATCGAGATTTAATGAAAGTAAAGAAAATTTATTTTAACCTAAATTAATCGATATTGATAAATAAAAAATATTTAGTTTGATAATTCATCAAATACACGTAAAGTAAAAGGGCGAACCGGATGGCCACAAACTGTTTGGCAATCAGAATTAAATCGTCGTGAATCGTTTCATCAATATGATAACAAACACTAATATGCTTTTATTAATGTCATCCTTTTTTTTCTCTTTTGCATGCCGGTGGTTTATATATACAAAAAAAAGAAGGAAAGAAAATTTAAATATCTTCATTTTAATGCACTTAAGGCATATCTTAATGTTTTATCTATTTCAATTTAATCAAATGAAGTCAATTTACATACATTTATCTTGAGGTAAAAATCAATGAACTTATGACTGCATAAAATAGTCTATGCATCTGTTTTATTTCTACAACATCGCGTGAGACAAAGACCAAAGCGTTTATGTAAGAGTAATCGAAAGGCGAATAAGAGAAATGCAGTTTTTATACTATGCTTAATGAATTATTCTTTGTTCTTTTAAATTTTCTTTCGTATTAACAATAGAAGAGGAAGAAAACAAAGACGAGATCTGTTCAACATCAATCGTTATGATTAAAGCAGATAGATCGATGATTATCATTGGATACATTTTCTATTTGATGAATAAAGTTTAATATGAGCAGAGCAGGAAGAATACGAACGAAATTCTATCTTAATGATTTGTTACATCTAAGGTTAAACTTTTGCTAAACATTTCATTAGCATGGGAAATTCCATGACGATTGCGTAATATGAAATAAAGTAAATACCAAGTTAGAAACCAGATAATCTTTAATTATTAGCAGAATTATGTAAACAAAATTCGGTTAATCGTCAAGCAAGATTTTTATTTCCAAGAAAACAATTCTAACAAAAATAATAGATGAGATATCTACAAAAAGTATAAACAATATTCATGATAAATGTACACGTTTATAATGGCACACATGATTATTCATCAATAATACTATTGAGATGCTTACATGATCATATCGAATAAGTAAAAGGCATAGAGGATGCATCAGTGATATTTTTCTCTACTATGCAACTGTGATGTTACTTACAGGAAACTCGAATGCAGTTTCCTAAATCAAATCTGCATTTGTGGAAAATGAGACGATATAAATTTTCTGGTCACCAATTGGGGATTTTCGAGTTTGTAGATAATCTAAAATAGAAAATATCGTGTGTGAAATCCTACTTTGCACAATAATTTAGTTAGTTACTGGCACACTATATGAACAAGCGAAAACTGTGACGAAAAACATATACTATAGACTAATTCTGGTAAGCAGAATATTTGTTCTGTAGGTCCACACGGCTGTACATGAGAAAAATAAAATTTTCAAATGAGAAATATATATACTAATCGTATAGGAATAGTCGTAGGCTGTTATCAAGTGTAGAATAAGATTAAACTGCAAAATCAAATATAACAATATACATATGAATCGATGAACTCTAAAATGAATCTGGTGACCAGAATGTGTATTCTGTTATTCAACATGAGTTTAGATTAGGATAAAAATATAATTTTGTGGAACTCACATATATTTTCGAAGAAAATGGTGAGTGTAAGCTTAGAAGCGAGATTTTTGCTGCTCACCATTACAGACATTAATGAGTTTAAAATTGTGCTAATTAGGAGCTTGACTAATTAGTCTGCTATTTCTGCCTTTTTTAATTACAGACTACACGAAAAAACCAATGCTTACCTATTACAGACCATAGAAACTAGTCTCTGCGATTGTTAAATACACGAGCTAACAATTAATACTCCGTTACAGACATAAGCAAATAGACAATGATCTAATTATAGGTTTTGGAAATCAGGGTAGATTTTTCAGATGAACTATTTTGAATTATTTTAGTTAGCCGAAGGGATATATGGGAGGTAGCCCCAAATAGGCTGCGCTAACAAGCTTTTCCAAATAAGACATATACAGTATTCAACTACAAATAAGTCGATGAGTGTAATCATCTCTAGAGTAAGATTAACCTGCATATTCGAAGAAAATAAAAATACATATGAATTAATGAACTATATGGAATGAATCTTAAGTGAATGATAAATAGATTAACGGATGAAAGAATTGAGACGACAGTTTTCTGATTAGTCAACATCTGCCGGCAGCTTAAATGTACAGAAAAAAAGGATTGTACGAAACCCCTTTAACTACTAAACCAAAACAAGGTTTGAAGAACTGATGCGACATCTGGTAGTAAACAATGAAGTTCAACGAAACCTCAAAGAATTCGTTTGATACCATTTCTTTCAGTGTAGTCAATAACAAAATGTAAGCACAACTTTCGGTATGTTTCCTTCATTATTAGGCTGTACAACTTTGTTCAATTGACAAACCCTTTGACTAAGAAGATATAAATCAAACCTACAAGGCATAGTTCAAAATGAATATGACTTGTAAATGATGTAGTTCGCAAAAATAAATTAAATATCAGCTCGTAATAAAAGAAAGATAACATATTCTGGCCAGCAGATTCGTTCAATAGTTCATCGATTCATATGTATTTTTTATTTTCTTCGAATATGCAGTTTAATCTTATTCTACACTTGATAACAGCCTACGACGATTCCTATACGATTAGCATATATACGTATTCCTCATTTGAAAATTCTATTTTTCTCATGTACAGCCGTGTGGACCTACAGAACAAATATTCTGCTTACCAGAATTAGTCTATAGTATATGTTTTTCGTCACAGTTTTCGCTTGTTCATATAGTGTGACAGTAACTAATTAAATTATTGTGCAAAGTAGGATTTCACACACGATATTTTCTATTTTAGATTATCTACAAACTCGAAAATCCCCAATTGGTGACCAGAAAATTTGTATTGTTTCATTTTCCACAAACGTGGATTTGATTTAGGAAACCGCAATTTGTGGAAAATGGGACCTCAGCGGAAAGTCAGTTTATTCCTAAAAATTGAGTTTAACAAATCATTTGTTCACATGCCATTCGTTCGCGAGATAACGCTAAAGTTTCAATCAATATGAAAGTCAAAATACTACCTTCAGTTGTATCGGCTTATGGTCGACATGAACTTTTGAATGAAACATACATGATCAATGTGAATGATCCAAGTATAATTAACATATAGATGCAGCGTTTCCGTAAAATAGGTTTAATGATACCAAGCGTCCATGACGAAAGCATTGTTCCGAAATGAAAAATCTTATATCCATAAGGTATCAATGCGTATGTTGATATTGCAAGAATAAATCCAAAGAGTACTGAACTTGTGTAAATACATCCTAACGAAAGAAGCAGATACGATGAAGTAGTTAAAGCTTTTTCTTATTTATCGATTGTTTCTAATGATGATTCCGGTACGATTTGATGTGCATTTCAAGCAATAGATGTCCACTGTAAAAGTACGACAGAAATAAACATTGAAAATAGATTGATACTGAAAATCGCGCAGCTTCGGTTGTAGTTGTTCCATTGATTGTTTGAATGCACCGAATTCGACCAAAAATCGATGAAGTACCATCGGGTTGCGGAAGTTTAAAGGCCAGAGTTACTAATGCTCTACTACGTTTTTCATTGGCAAATATTAATGATTCAATGTATGTCTACGATAGAAAACTTTAACAAGAGCAAGTATAAATGGTTCAGCATTATCGAAACTTGTAATTAATGCAAGATTTGCACCGAATCTCACAAGTACTAATAAAATATAAGTTATATATTTATCTAGATTCCATTGATAGTACATTTTGTAAAGTTAATTTTGTTAAGATAACAATATAATATTGACACACGAATGATTTTTATTTTGAAAAAATAGTATTACTATTTTTATAACAGTGAATGAGAAGATTTTTAAATGTAAATACCAGTACGCCTTCTGATAGTGTTTTTATCTATTCACAATATCAAAGAAATAGACAAAAAAAAACCAAATGGACCAACACTGAAATTGGCGGTAGATTACTTTGATTGATGATCTTTGTTTCCCCTCATTGAATAACGGACGAAGGAATATAGTTCTAAATTAGTTTTATTTTCGATATAGTGCTTGGGTTGAATGTTCTGACGACATCATTGTTTTGTTTTTGTTGAAACGAACAAATTTCATGCTGTAAAATGGCATAAAAGAATTTGAAGGCAAATGTTTCTTGCAAACTATAGAAATGTTGGAATAAACTTTCAGCGTTTACAGTTATTGTTTAACTATAATAGATAGGAAATAATGCGAGAAAAAAACGATCATTTAGATTAATGCCAAATTAAAAAATCAAAACAATCTTTCATTGAGTGTCTTATATAGAAAATCCTAATAATCAATAATAAAAACTATTGATATCGAAGGAAACCATATAAGTTCTTACTTGAGCTCTTGCAAAATATAGATAGAATTTTATTTTTGGTAAAAATAGGATTTTCTTCTTATTGATATATGATATTGTTATTTTTCGGAATGCTAGCTAGAGTGGTGTTGAGCTAAACGATACTACAACAGTACAATTATTTACTTCATATACGGTAATAGTCGTTTTGAAAAGCTACTGCTACCGAAAACAAACATTGGAAGTCTCTTATCAGGTGACACTAAATCGAAGATAACACACCTCAAAACGTAGAGCAAAACAAAATATCGCATTTACCTGTCGACCAACCCTACCATTATTTTCTAGTTATGAGAAAAAGCAACTATAATATATTCTTTGTTCGTTTTTATCAAGACAGTTTCTACATGTCATCGTTAGTAATGTATTATTTAATATTAAACATATATGCATGCGTTATGAAAGCTCTCAATATTTGGCTCAGAAGAATAACGTCCTTTCCTTAGTAACGAAATTGTTTCTGACATCGAATATATTTTAATAATTTTTTTAAATGATATTTTTTTTTATTCATCACTCTTCGTTAAATTCTGTTTGGTTGAAGTTTAAAAAGTCCATTTATACACGAATGAATTCAGTAGTTTCAAAAGAATTCGATTGTAGTTTAGCGCGAAAATCAATCGTAATATTGGACAAATATGAATTTTGTTGCTGAATTCAGATTTTCTAATCCAACTAAGAAAATTTTCAAATACTATTCGCTGAGATCTTTATTTTTTCTTTGTTACGCAACTATTTCATGTAAAATTGGTTCTGTAAGATTTTACATCGAAACAAATTGGATCTCGACTTTGGTTCGGTTCGGTTCGGTTTAAATTTTGAAAAACCCAAACCGTGGCCATCTCTGATAAGAACGACCATAATCACACTCACACCCGCTTATCTCTATTTGATCGAAAATCGATAGTAAATGATCATCATTCAATTGAACCTATTATAATAAGTGTGTTGAAGTATGATCAGCAAGCAATTGTTGTACTTGATTTTCGTTTTAATCATCTGTTGTGGTCTGGTTTACTATTTCATTTTCTTTTACATGAGAAGAAAAGAGAGTAAATGAGAAATAGAAAAAAAAAGCAAATAGTTGTAAATGTCTGTAAAGAGTGGTTGACATCTCTTTGTTTATTAACACCATACTCATACCTTGTCTTTATTACTTTCATTTTAGTTCAATTTTGCACGTGACATATAAATCAATCTTTTCTGACAATTTGTGAATATCGTTCGATCGCTTGATTGAAATAATATGTCCCCTAAGAAAATATTCTACGATTAACTTTTGTTTCTAAAATTTTGTGTTTAAATATAGTTCAAAAGCGTCGAAGATTTTTGTAGAATAGTTTTAGACTATATTTGCCAGCTATAATAAAAGGTTCTTTGTATTGTTTACTGCAATAAAATCACTGGTAACATTAGGTGACAATTATAAGATGAATTAATTGACCATTTCAGCAGGTACATTAAGCAAAAAAATGTTTACCTTAATTCATCATAGCGGAATAATTAATTAGGTTTCGAAAAGGCATAGGTCTAAGATGCAGTTTTGTTTTTATCAATGTTTGTTTGAAAGATTGAGTCGGTCGTGTAGTAGGTTGCCTAAGTGACTGCAATTCACACACCTGAGGTCTGAGCGTTATACTTCGTCTTATTTATATCCTTACCCACAACCTATACATAATTAATACAAAGAAACAAGATTCTGTTTCATAGGAAAATTCCTAATTTTTTGATTAAGTTTATTGAAGAACATTAAAAATTAAAACGACAATCTGAATTAAGTTATGAGAGAAGTAGCCTTTATGAGCTGATAAATTTGAACGAGTAATGAATGGAAAGAGAAAAAGGTTTCCACCAATATTATTTTTCAATGCATTGATATAGTGTAGATATTTCTCTAGATTCTATAATAATTGTCACTTATTCAATAAAAAAAAAGGAAAATCACGCTTGATTGCCTTGATTATTATTTAGTTTGTTTTAAGCACTCATCAAAGGATGTTCGTAGATGATGAGTACAATATACAAGGGCAGAATTTTTGGGCAAATGTCATCATGATTTCAGGTACCCAGTGTATACCATCCGAGTTTCTTAGCTGTTGCTCACTACTGAAAGTCTCCATGAATGACAAATACCTTGAGATTTTGTAATATCAACGAATGGGTGCCATCACAAGCTGACCAAGCGAGTGACTGTGTATGTGACTGAAACAACTAGCTACGACATTGTTGATTAATATTGTTCCTAAACATACAAAAAGTAGTTAATTCAACTTGAATGCAGTTGTTGTAAGCTTACCAGACATTGTCAATGGAGCAAAATAACCCATTTTAGTTTCGATAGATATCTGAATAACTGGTGACACAATTACAATACCATCATCAGACAAAACATACAGAGAGTCTCGACCAACTTCTACTTGCTCAGCTGGTATGTATATGATCGTTCCTGTACTTGACTGAACTGGCATTAAATGTTGTCCTGTCAAACTAATCATATGATTTGACTTCGTTTGAAAAGTATAGAACACAGCTACAAGATAATCAGAAATTAAACGCTAAATCAGTTATTCATCATATTAATGTTGAGAAGTGTACCTTCGCCAAATGCACTTTGGTCAAGCATCAAAATCATCTCGTCCGTAGTTAGGTTTGTGCCATCGAAAGCTGTAAATTTATCACCAGTACGTAATCGACCGATTTTCTGTCGTCGTCCGTCGATCATTTGCAGCCAACTATCCCCGGCGAAACAACTGGGAGCACTTGTGGAAGTGCCCGTGGGAGCGTCCGTTGCAGGGCTTGTGGAATTGTTTGTGAGAGGGCTTGTGGAATTGTTTGTGAGAGGGCTTGTGGAACTGTCTGTAACAAGGCTTGTGAAATTGTCCGTTGGAGGGCTTGTGGAATTGTCTGTGAGAGGGCTTGTGGAAGTGTTCCTGAAATGACTTGTGAAAGCGCCCGTGGGATGGCGGGTGGGATGACGTACCGGAGATTCTGCGGCTAGAAAAAATGTACATCGGAGTTTGCAATATGGGATTTGCATGACTTACTACAAGCAGCAATGCATCAATTTTTTGCGATATGGAATTTGCATGACTTACTACAATCAGCAACACATCTATCTATTGCTAATTTGGATGCATGTTTAACCGGTTCAGTGATATGTCCAGCTACAACAGCTGAAAAATGCAGGTATATGATGAAGCCAACGGCATGACACAATCGATTAGACGACAGCATTTGTTTTTGTTGTTTAATTGAATATGCGGTGTGTGATTCACTTTAACTTATGGTTTGTGTCTTCTTATAAGGAGTAACTCTTTATTTATTTTTGGTTCTTTTTAATAGTGTTGGCAGAAACCCAGTCTAGCTGATTTTTATAGGAATTAACAACAAGGAGAAAACCCATTAAACTTCTCATAATTATGCCACGTACTTTTGTTATTTCATATTTCTCAGAAAATATAGAGAGGACGAAAAATACATGCAGGACTCGCCTGATTCACATTAATGATATGGTGCGTGTTCTCTGATGTTTTTTCTTTTCAATACTGCTGTTTACTTTGCACAGCAATTAATAGGCTTTATATTCAGTTTCAAATTGCTTCCTTTTTCACATATATCAGCGTCTTGTAAAAAGAACAGTCCCGTAATCCACTCTCCCCCGACGTGTTCCCGGGGAGTTCCCGCAAAATAACGAAATCTCTCGGGAGTCCGTGTCGTGAGTCCCCGTGGATTTGTCAAGGGACTCCCTGGGGATTCTTTTTTGGTGCCTCATGAATAATCAATAGATTAGTTCCGTTTCAATTTTTTTCTGATATATAGCATCTTAGAAATAAAGAAGAACTCAAATTCATATTTTATTCTTGTTGTTGTGCTATGTTTTGCAGCCGAAAGTCTCAGCATCATTTATCTAACTAGAATAGTAAGAAATGGCCGAAAATAAAAGTTGTTTTGTAAAGGTGTATTAAGCTTAAAATTTTTCAATTTTTATCAAAATGTGGCATTTGATAAAATATTGCTGGGTTCATAAAGATAAAAAATATAATTTATAAGGTGTACCCATAGGAGAAGTCGAGCAAAAATTTTCATTGATGAGCTGATCATAAATATCACCTTGAAAATAATTTTTTAGTACTTTTTACCGGAAAAAAATTCAGAATACTAAAATAGTTTAAAAAGACGACCATTTCAGTTCTTTTAAGGAAAAATCAAGTTTATGCTTATTTCAAGTAAAGATAAACTTTTGAAGCTCTTTCATTCGTATTGAACATTAAGAATTCAGTAAAAATTATGTGTAGATTTATAACTATTTCATCATTTATATCTAGTCCAATAGGACCCACTCGATATATGAGCCGTCACAATATCACCGTATTGATCTTGCAAACCTATCAACGCTTTTTTTATGGACATTTCTACAAACTTCATGCATCATTGGAACTGTCAAATGAAGGTGTACAAAACTTCGCATGGATTTCGAAAAATTTTTCTTTCTTAGAAAGAAATGCTCATTTTACTGACACGAACAGATAAATCAAATTTCATATTTTTCGTTTCGATCAAATTTTGTTCGATTTCAATTTTGACTTTGATTTCTAGATAGAAAACCGTGTAGAATCCAATAGAAGTACTAAGAGCTGGCTACTGACTCTACAAAAAGTACTGGAACTGTGGTACTGTTCCTTTAGCCACACGGTATATTGAGCTCTAAATTTTCACGAAGAAAAAAATATTTTGACTTTTTATAGAATCAGTAGCCAGCTCTTATTATTTCTATTGGATTCTACACGGTTTCCTATCTAGAAATCAAAGTCAAAATCGAAATCGAACAAAATTTGATCGAAACGAAAAATATGAAATTTCATTTATCGTTCTTATCACTAAAATGAGCATTTCTTTGTAAGAAAGAAAAACTTTTCGAAACCCATGCGAAGTTTTGTACACCAGGTTGTAGAAATGTCCATAAAAAAAGCGTTGATAGGTTTGCAAGATCAATACGGTGATATTGTGACGGCTCATATATCGAGTGGGTCCTATTGGACTAGATATAAATGATGAAATAGTTATAAATCTACACATAATTTTTACTGAATTCTTAATGTTCAATACGAATGAAAGAGCTTCAAAAGTTTATCGTTACTTGAAATAAGCAAAAACTTGATTTTTCCTTAAAAAGAATGAAATCGTCGTTTTTCAAACGTTTTAGTATTCTGAATTTTTTTCCGGTAAAAATTACTCAAAAAGCATTTTCAAGGTGATATTTGTGATCAGCTCATCAAGCTCTATCTAGCGATGTAAAATATAACGAGTGAAAAAATTTTCTCGACTTTTGCTCTGGGTACACCTTACATTTTATCCGTGACAACGCTGTAGAGTGAGAAAAGGTTCGTAGATTTTCAATGAAATCTAAACTCTTTTGAGTTTCATAAAAATATATAGTTCCGCATCAAACCCTGTGCAATTCATACTCAAAATATTTGGGTGCTGGTGTAGGCCTTCTCTTCGCCCACGTCCTAATTAGTAGGGATGTGACAATACCAATGCCATATTGGTATTGTTACATCCCTACTTCCTTCTGGTATATAAATGTGTATTGTAATTATGTAAAGTTGTTACTAGAACCCATCGGGTCCGGGTCCAGATTAAAAAATTTGCTCTTACAAACCTATCATTTCATATCCCGAAGATTTTCTTCATGTGTCCCTACAAGTGATAATCACATCTAGATTTGTAGAAAAATAAAATTGAAATTCAACTGTATTTGCTCCAAAACTATAACAAGAGACTTGTTCTTACACTAATTATGTCAAACAATAATAGAAAATGTGTTGCTATTATTGGTGCAGGTGTATCAGGTATTGTCACAGCTGTCAATATGTTTAGAGTTGGTATTCAGCCAACAGTATTTGAAAAAGCATCAAATATAGGTGGATTGTGGAATGTCGATATAAAACCATGTTGGAATTCAATGCGTACAAATATTTCAAAATTTTCAACAACATTATCGGAATTTCCATGGCCAAAAGATACACCATTATTTCCAAGTCAACGAGAAGTTTATCAATATTTGTTAAATTATGCTGATCAATCGTTACCAAAAGAAGTTTTTCGATTTAATACTCACGTATTGAATGTCACGTATGGTAATGATAAATCGACCGTAGAATATTCTACTAAATTAAATAAGACATCATCATATGAACAATATGATTTTGTTATTGTTGCATCAGGCTTTTTTGATTGCCCATATATACCCAAAGAAATTGAAAATCTTTCGTCATTTCCGGGTACATTGATGCATAGTTCTGCTTATCGATCACCAGAACAAGTTAGGAATAAGAGAGTTATTATTACTGGTGCATCGATGAGTGCAGCTGAAATCGCTGCTGATACAGCAACAAGTGCTAAGAATGTTTTACATATTGTAGCACATAATTTTTGGTCACTGCCCCGTTTTATACCGTTGAAACCAAACGATTCAGTTTCATCGTTTCTTCCAATTGATTTTGTTTTTTATCGTCAATCAAATAGAAAAACAAGTTCTGAAATTATCTTGAGAAGTAAAGATGAATATAAAGAAATAAACAAGTACTTTAAATTAATAACTGGTAATAGTCAGCAATCATCTTGTTTGATTGATGTAAACGACGAAAATCCAGCTGTTGTTGCTATTTCGGATATGTATGCTGAATGGAATCGTGCAGGTAAAATAATTCTGAAACAAGGAAGATTAAATAAAGTAGAAAACGATGGAACATAGGGAATAGCCAGAAAGAATGTTCGTATGAAATAAAAACTTCATTTAATGGTAGCGCCACCATTCAACGAACGTCCTGATTGGATATTTTTATTAATTCTAAACAACGGCATCAACATCAAAACGACTGCAGACGACATTCTTATTTTATGCACTGGTTATCGACCGTGTCTTGAATTTTTCTCAGAAGATATTCTTAAACAATTATCTTATTTACATGATGATGTATTTTGCCCAATAATTCTTCATCGTAATATTTTTCATCCGAACTTACCTAATTTAGCATTTATTGGGATGTACCGAGGACCGTTTTGGGCAATTATTGAATTACAATCGCGTTGGGTAGCTTCAGTATTTGCAGGCCTCTTGCCGGTTCCTTTGGTCGTTATACAAAACGCAGGTCTTGATATGGAACGTCGAATACGTGAACAACAACCTCGACCTCAATTTCCACATAATGATTATGTAGGTTCCATTAATGATTTAGTTAAAGAAATGACTATGAACACATCTTCAGATAAGAATGATATTGTGATTCCAGCAAAATATCGAACTGATGGACCTGATGAAAAGATTCTTGATGAAGTGAATGCTCTATGTGAGCAAGCAAATCAAGGTCGTTTTATTGCTGGTGCTGTTTTTCGCGCACTCCATCAAACTCAATGGACATTCGAAAGAACATTGAAAGGTAAACCTTCTGATGGTTCTGCTTCTGGTCAAGCTCAATTCTACTTTTCTAAACAAAAAGAACTGCTTTATAAAGAACAAGGAAACTTAAATTTATCATCACAAACACCATTGGATGTAACACAAAAATATATTTATGCCTATGATGCAGATAATGATCTTCTTAGTGTTTATTTTGTTGATAATAACAATGAACGTGGCTCACTATTTCATACGATTTCTTTTCAATCAAAACATTCATCGGACAATGGATGGGTTGCTAATGGTCAACATTTGTGTAGTCAAGATCATTATTCGGCTTCCTATTTATTTGTCTTTAATGGAATAAATTTATCTCGATTTGAAATTGAATATATTGTGGAAGGTCCAGCTAAAGATTATACATCGAAAACTATTTTCCAACCACTTAAAAGTAATGAAAGTTTTTAGAAATGTTTATTTCAAGATTATCAAACGATGCGAACGGATTTATATTCGAAGCACAATTTAAAAGAAATAAAACTTAATTAAAAATTTCTGTATCGAATAGTTTTCCAGACGAATAAACATATTTTAAACAAATCATGAAAATAAAATTAGTTATAGTTTTCTTCTAATAATCTACTATTTCTTCAATTTATGATCATTTCAACTTCGTCTAGAAAAAGCAATTAATCTGTGTAAAATTGTTATCCAAAATCAATTATTCCAAATAAAGACATGTTCGAGGAAATATTTTTCAAAACTTTTCTTCAATTTCTCGTCGCCAGTCTGACTTTCTCTACGCATACATTGTACAACTTCCAGTTAAATTCATCAAACTTGACGTCGCAATTATATTTTTTTGTAAATTTAAATTCTTTTTCAAATTTTTATTTTCGCTTTTTAAAAAGACACATACGTACAGGCATGAGTAGAAATTTCGAGTTCTATCCTTTGAAAATAAATTGGCGCATGTGATTCATCAGCTGAAAGATAAAAATGAGAGAATTTATCATTGAATAATACTCTTAAAACTATTCTAATTAAAATTGTAACTTCGATCAGACAAAACTAAGGGCATTCTTGAGGGTGTGGGTGTGAGGCCGAGGATGTATCAGTATAGAATAAGACCCACACCCTCATGCGTGCCTGTTCTTGTCTTAGAATTTATTCGATAGGTTTCCACGGCTGGAAAATGAGACATCATATGGAAAGCCTCTTTTTGATCTCAATCCCATTGATAGAATCATTAGAGCGGTCGATAATTCTACATTTTACTAGTCTATCGCTGATCTCTCTGGAGAAGTCAAATCAAGTGAAAATGTTCCTAGAATTAAATCAATACAGCTCAATAGAACATCAAGTGAGGGTTTTCGTTTGAAAACAAGTCTGCTAACAATAATAGCTGATGGAACAATAAGAAATAGTCTTCAAGAAGTGCAAAAAAAATTATATACACCAAATTATATTTTTCTCTTGTTTTCATGTGGAATGCTTCCAAACGAGCTAGTTCAAGTACTAAAACCCATGATTTAACAAGCGATACGTTCGCATGGCCTTCGTTCATGAAATAGTGCAAAATTTTCAACCATAAGATAAGAAGCAATCGATCCCATTAAGGAACCACATTGAACTTGAACACCAAACCAAAACATTCCATTGGGTGAATGTCTGCGTGCATAGTTTGCAATTACCAAACGAGGATAACCCAAGAATATATATGTAATAAACCATACGAATAAAATCAGAACGCTACCTTTAGTTGTATCAACCCATGGTGGACATGGACTTTTCAGTGCAACATACATTGAAAATGCAAATGTAATAGAACCCAATGTAATTAAAATGTAAACATAACGCTGACGTAAAACAGGTTTTATCATACCGAGTGCCCAAACGATTGTTAACATCCATGGTGAAATAATTGTTCCTAAATAAAAAATCTTATGCCCATAAGGCATTAGAGCATATGAAGAAATTGCAAGAAGAAATCCAAACACAACTGAACTTATATAAGAACATAATAATGATAAAAGAATATACGATGGAGTAGTTAAAGATTTTGGTTGACTATAAATTGTATCGATTATTTCTAATGATGTTTCCGATTCCGTATGATATGCATTTCGAGTGATGGTTGTCCATCGTAGAAGTACGAATGAAATCAACGAAATAGTTAAGATAAGAAATAAACATAGAAAATAGATTGATACAGAAAATCGCGGAGGTTGATAAATAGCTTCGGTTTTATTAGTTCCATTTATCGCTTCGATGCAATGAAGTCGACCATTACCTTGTGCTATTGTCAATAGACTCGGTAGAATAAATGAAAAACTTTCACCAAGAAAAATTGTATTTGTATATTCTTTTCGAAATCGATGAATATAATCAGTAAAATGAAATCGATGATGTACAATAAAGTAACGAAAGAGAAAAAGCAAGTATTAGTAATGCAGTACTACGTTTTTGATTAACCACGATTGTTGTATATGACCAAAAGAAAGTTAATAAAAGACACGAAAGCATGCCAATACCTATAACAACGTAATTAATTGGTACAGAATTAAATTCGTGTTTTCGATAAAAGAATTTAATAAGAACAAGTGTAAATGGCGCAATATTGCCAAGATTAGTAGTTAGAGCTAAGTTTGCACCTAATTTCCAACTTTCAGGTTGGGTTAAAATGATCTGTGGTAATTCTGCAAGCATTCCATTGATATCTGTTCAAGATGCAAGAAAAAAGAGTGTTAATAAAATATAAGTTATATATTGATCTAGATTCCATCGATGATTCATGTTGAGAAAATAGTTCTAGTATTAAAAAGATGTAGAATAGATAATTACAAACTGTTTTTCAGTTAAAACAATGGTATAAATACTTTTCTAACAACAAATGATTAGCTTTATCAATGTAAATGCCAGTATTTGTTCTTTGCGTGTGTAAAATCAAAATAAGAAAAAATAGAAGTCAATGGGCCCCAATTTAAATAGAGCTAGCATTGCTTTCGCAGATGACCTTTTCTTTTTATTATATAATGGATCAGAGAAAAGTTGTGTTTTAGTATGTTTTCTATATAGTACCCTCCTTAAATGTCATTAATTTATTTTATACGAAAAAGTGAACTGCGACTTGTTGAATTGATTGCAAGAATTTGACTTCATAAGTTCTTTATTATCGTTAAAATAGTTGTTCTGGCATGCAAGTGAATATCCCACTAGATGAAACAGGTCGATCAAATAGAGAATATTTGATTGAATATCTCATAGGGATAATGTATCGTATTACAAATGACATAGTTTAACAGTGAACTCCATAACCTTTTTTTTTCAATTGTGATCGACAATATCTCTAAATTATACAGATTAAATTGGATGAGTCTTTGATGTATTTTCACATTTTCTCGCAAAATTAGTGTACAAAACTTTCGAACCCGAGAGACATGTACGCATTGATTGTTAAGGGGCCGACATCAACGAAGTTCAGTAGTTTGCCAAAGAAGATTTTTATTTCGAAACCAAAAATCTGCCAACAATAAAAAATCAGATAATGAGAAGTAACGTAAACAATATTCATAAATCCTACTCATGGAATGATTAGAGATAACATTAATTAGACCGAAAAAAAACCTACATAGATCAGACTATAGCATCAAGAGAACAACGAAAAATATTTCGCTTAACAAATTATTTGTTCACAGGCTATTCGCTCACGAAATAAAGAAAACGCTTCAACTAAAAGATAAGATACAATAGATCCGACTAATGCGCCTGATTGCACGTGAACGCCAAACCAGAACATTCCATTCGATGAATATGTTCGTACATAATTTGCAATTACCAAACGAGGATAACCCAACAATACATAAGTAATAAGCCATACGAATAAAATCAGAACACTACCTTTAGTTGTATCAACCCATGGTGGACATGGACTTTTAAATGAAACAAACATAGTAAATGCAAATGTAAATGATCCAAGGATAATTAAAATGTAGACATAACGTTTCCGTAAAATAGGTTTTATAATACCAAGAAGCCAAACAAGTACAAGCATCCACGGTGAAAGAATTGTTCCTAAATAAAAAATCTTATGTCCATAAGGCATTAATACATATGTTGATATTGCAAGAATAAATCCAAACAGTACTGAACTTGTGTAAATACATCCTAACGAAAGAAGAAGATACGATGAAGTAGATAACGTTTTTTCTTGTTTATCGATTGTATCAATTGTTTCTAATGATGATTCTGGCACGATTTGATGTGCATTGCGAGCAATAGATGTCCATTGTAAAAGTACGAATGAAATAAATGAAATTGTTAGAAGAAGAAATAAACATAGAAAATAGATTGATACTGAAAATCGGGCAGGTTCATAAATAGCTTCAGTTGTCGTTGTTCCATTGATTGTTTGAATGCACCGAATTCGACCATTGCCTTGTGCTATTGCCAATAGACTCGGTAGAATAGATGTAAGACTTTCGCCAAGAAAAAGTGTATTAGTAAATTCTTTTCGAAATCGATGAATATAATCAGCAAATGAAATGGACGAAGTACAATCGAGTAGCGAAAGAAAAAAGGCAAGAGTTAACAAAGCCGTACTACGACTTACATTTACAATGATTGTTGTGTATGACCAAAAGAATATTAAGAGAAAACATGACAGCATACCAATAACAATAACAACATAATTAATCGGCACTGGGTTCAGTGTACGTTCACGATAAAATAATTTAACAAGAACAAGTACAAATGGCGCAATATTACCAAGATTAGTAGTTAAAGCTAAGTTTGCACCTAGTTTCCAACTTTCAGGTTGAGTTAGAATAATCTGTGGTAGTTCCGCATAGATTCCATTAATATCTGTCCATGATGAGAGAAAAACAAGTGTTAGTAAAATATAAGTTACATATTGATTGAGATTCCATCGGGGATGCATTGTCTGAAAATAGGTTTAAGAATAAAATAATATCGAAATTTACGCAAACTTAAGCAGACTATGTGTTATTTTGTTTTTCATCTGTATGGAAAATTATATGAAAGTGTGATTACGTTTATTTTATGAATAAGAATAATCTTAGAGCTCCGTTATTTATCATGAAATGAAGTAAGAAAAAAAATGCTTTGATTTCAATTTTTCTTAATGACGAATTAATGAATTAAACGGAAATTTATAGGTGTTTCTTGCATTCAGCCGGTGGATTTGAACCCTAAAAAATAAATTTATTTAAAAATTGGTACGTTTCGAATAGATTTGAAATCTTCTGTTTACTTTATAAGATTTGCATATAAGTTTAATTAAATCTTTCTCTGCTTCATGCTGCATTATTTCCGTATGTTTATCATTGACGGTTATCCAAGGTACATATTTATGTGGTGGTTGAAGACTATCTGTTTGAGTAGCATATATATGTTGCAATTGGTTGCCTAATTTACTCTTAGTGCATGCGTCAATTTTATTGAAGTCAATTTTCGATTGCTGTGCACACTGCATAGCAACAGTTGGCACATCACCTGCGGTCGATTCAGTACAATAAACAAATGGCTAATGAAAAAACAAAATTTTCTTATAAATTCGATTTTATTCTTTCATTGTTTCTTACCATATATTGATCAATAGTAGGATAATAATTAAGAACACAAGTCTAAAAAAAGAAGGAACTCTTATTTATCTGAGAAAAAATAGATCACTGCTTTTTCAGTACATGAATCAAATTTCCTAAACATTCATTGGGACCATGTTGACAAATAAATTGATAAAGATCCGTTTTGGGTTCATATGTTTCACGTGCATTTCCATAAGGTACGATCGTGATATTGACAATGTCGGAAATCGTTTGATATGCTTTCCAAAGTTCTGTTGTCATAAATTGTCGACAGTCGGGACAAAGTGTTTCATAATAAAGTGTAAAATTGACTTTGCCATTCTGATTCTGCTTTTTCCAAACAGAATTTTTACACTGTTCAGTTATCTGACAGAAAGAAAACATTGAAATAATTAACAGACAAGATCATTTTTTTGTGTTACATACACCACAAACTCGAGCAATTTTTTTATTTCGACACCATTTTGCCGACGATTTAGAACAATTGATTGTTAAACCATCGTTAATACAAAAAATTAAAATCGTTAAAAATATAAATGATGAATGCATGATAACAAGAATATACGAAATAAAACGACAAGACTACTGTCGATAGCATTTTATAAAACATTTTCTACGCAAAAACAAAACACCATTATCGTTATCTACTAAATTTTATAACCTATTCTAACATGACAAAGAGCACATACTGCGATAAAGAGTGAAAACAAAGTTGCTTGTTTTTTTCATTCGACATGATGAATGCATAGCTACGTGCTATTCGCTAAATAATCTTGTTAGTACTAGCTTGTTTTACTTTTGATAAATTGAATAGAAGAACATAGACATAGTTTATTCACCTTCACAACATGCTGGTATATATGAGGAGACAAAAATGAACATAGTCAGATTGGGAAAAAAGTGAAAGAGAAAAAAAATAGACGATCAAGTTTTATTTGCATTGAGCCGGAGGATTAGGCCCCTATAATGATAAAATAGATTTAATCTTTAAGAATCAACATTATTGTTTCTTTACTTTGTATGATTTACATATAAGTCCAATAAGATCTTTTTCAGCTTGTTTTTCCATATCATCGGTATGTTCACCGTTAATTGTTATCCAAGGTACATATTGGTGTGGTGGTTGAAGACTATCAGTTTGAACTGCATATTCATGTTGTAGTTGATTACCTAGTCGACTATGAGTACAGGCGGTGATTTGATCGTAGTCAATGGATGATTTTTGTGCGCATTGTGTCGCCACTGTTTCAGTATCACCGTCAGTTGATTCCATACAATAAATGAATGGCTAAATAGAGAAAAATAAAACATGAAATCTTGTTAGCTATTTAAAAACATCATTTTACTATATGTTGTTCACTTTTTGGATAGAAATTGAGAACGCAAGTCTAAAAGAGAAATGAGAAAAAAATGTGAGATTAGAAATTTTATTTTTTACATGAATTAAATTTCCATAGCATTCTTCGGCACCATGCTGACAATAGAATTGATAAAGTTTTGTTTCTGGTCGGTATAATTCACGAGCATTTCCATAGGGAACAAATGTTATATTGACAATATCAGGAATGGATTGATATGCATTCCAAACTTGTGTTGTAATAAATTGTCGACAATCGGGACAGAGTGTTTCATAATAAATTGATAAATGAACACGATTATCGTCCTCGTGAACTTTCCAAACGTATGTTTTACATTGCTCAATTACCTGAGAAGACGAAAATTTTCAAAAAATTAGTATAAATGAAATTTTCTACGTACATCACAGGCTTGAGCAATTTCGTTTGATTTACACCATTGTGACGGTGAATTTGGACAATCGATGGTTAGACCACCATTAACAAGTAGAAAAAGTATTGTCGAAACAATGAATGAGACGTACATAATAATAAAATACTATCTGAAAGCAAAAATATTTCAAAATGCTAATTATCAGGTGAAGTATTCTCAGTGGAAGTGAGTTGTTTCATATGATGCGATTTGATATTCATCTGTGGTCGAACGAATAACAAACCGTGCATATTAAAAACAAAGAGGGCGTTATAGTGCGTTTGATTTATTTATCGAAATCGATTTGATCGAAGGAAAAGTGCATTAAGATTTGGACTACATCATGAAAATATTCCTGTTAGTTTACCGTAAGTTTTCCTTCTTTTTCATGTGCCAGTTAGAAAGTCACTTTTCGAAATTATATTTAAAAAAATGAACATCAAGCTATCTAAATCATTATTCGTTACAAAAGTTTATACAGCAGACAACAACATGGTATCTTCCGGAGTCAAACTGGACTCCACTTATTGGATGAAGGATCGTATACTTCACCGAGTGGTTCACCATAACCACCAGCTACCAATATTTTACCCGACGATAATAACGAAGCCGTATGATAGACACGAGGTGACGACATACTAGCAACCACACTCCACTTCTTCGATGATGGGTCGTACAATTCACAGCTAGACAAATAATTACCATTATTCATACCACCTGTTATTAAAATTTTCCCTGATGATAGCAGAGTAGCAGTGTGTCCCGCGCGAGCAAATAGCATGTTGGTGGCTAACATCCACTTGTCTGAAGAAACAATGTAGAGTTCACTAGACGACAAAGACTTGGACCCATCGTTACCGCCAATAACTAGTATTTGTTGAGGTGATAGTACAGTGGCTGTATGTTGAAAACGTGCAGTTAACATATTTGCAACTCTAGTCGTTGCATTCGATGAAACTTTATACATTTCACAATCGGACAAAGCAGTCTTGTTATAACCGCCTACGAGTAGTACTTGTTGATTCGGTAACAAACTTGCAGTGTGTTGAAAGCGTTCTGATAGCATTGCAACTGTCTTAACCCAGTGCATTGATTTAGGATCGAACAGTTGGGCTGTAGATAAATATCCTAAGAAATAAGCACCACCTGTGACTAATACCTTTCCGGACGGCATTAAAGTTGCAGTGTGCCCCTTAAGTTGGTCGTTTAGGCCATCGGATTTCACCCATGTATTCGAATGAGGATCAAAGATTTCACAAACTGTTGCGGTAATTTCGAATTGATCAGCGCCACCTACTACTAATACATTTCCCGATAATAGTAACGTTGCAGTGTGTTGATATCGTTGTGTTGACATATTTGCGACTGGAGTCCACATATTCAGTGAAGCATTATATATTTGACAACTCGAAAAACTGTTAAAGGCATTTGAACCACCTGCTATCAATACATCACCAGATAATAGTACTGTGGCTGTGTTTTGAAAACGTTCTGAACTTGTCTTATCTACTGGAGTCCAAGTATCAGATAAATAATCATACAGTTCACCAACCGGCAGAGTATTTCCACCAGTTGCTAATACTTTTCCAGATGACAACAACGTAGCTCCATGTTGAATACGTGGCAATGACATATTGGATGCTGGAGTCCACATCTTTGATAGAGGGTCGTATATTTCACTAGTTGAGAAATCATCATGATTATCTCCACCTGTGACTAGAACATGCCCAGATGATAATACAGTAGCAGTATGGCCATGTCGTGGAAACGACATATTCATGATTGGTGTCCAAATATTCGATGAAGGATCATACATTTCACAATCTGCCATATAATATCCATTATTAATGCCACCTGTAACTAGGAGTTCACCGGAAGGTAACGATGTCAACGTATGTTGTGCACGAGCTTTAGACATACTAGCAACTAGAGTCCACGCGTCGGATTTAGAATCATACACCTCGCAACTCGATAGATATGTACTACCATCAAAACCACCTGTAACTAATGTTTTTTCAGATGATAGCATTATAACCGTGTGTTGAGAACGTGGTGTAGACATACTGGCGGTTGAACTCCAAGTGTTCGATAAGAAATTGTATATTTCACAATTCGAAAGATATTTACGATTTAAATCTTCATCATAACCACCTATTACTAATACATGTCCAGATGATAGTAGAGTGGCAGTGTGTTCACAACGCGCTACATGCATATCTTCAACTGCAGTCCATATGGTGGACATAGTATTATATACTTCACATCGTTTGAGAGAGCCAATCGAACTATATCCACCTGCCACCAAAACATTTTCATTCGATAGTAAAGTTGCTGTATGCAGAGAACGTGGTACTATCATATCTGTTGTTGGTATCCATGTATTTGTTGGAGTATTGTATATTGCACAACTCGACAATTGATCCCAACCGTTAAAACCTCCTGTTACTAATACTTTGTCAGATGATAGCAATGTTGCTGTGTTTTGTAAAACAAATGTTGGGAATTTGGTCACCGGAGTCCATGTATTCGATGTAGAATCGTATGCTTCACTAAACGGAGCGCTAATACCACCTGCAACTAATATTTTACCCGATGGCAATAGAGCTGCTATATGTTGAAATCGTGGAGTTGACATGTTGCGAACTGAAGTCCATGTATTTAATGCAGGATCATAGATTTCACAGGTAGACAATCCGTCTAGTATACTTTGACCGGCTACACCGCCTGTTACGAGAATTTTTCCTGATGGCAATAATGTGGCAGTATGTCCAGCACGTTGAGTTGTCATATTAGCAACTGATGTCCATTTATTTGATTGAGGGTCATAGACTTCACAACTCTGCCAGTAGTTTTTGCTACCATCGAATCCTCCCACTATAAATAATCTACCGTCAGATAATAAAGTTGTTGTGTGAAGAAAACGTCCCGTTGACATCGACGCTATTGAAGTCCAAATATTGGATATAGGTTCATACTTTTCACAAGCTGAACTATTAGGATAATTACCACCGATAACTAGTACTTGTCCTGATGATAATAAAGTGGCAGAATGAAACATACGTGGCAACATCATATTAGCGACTAACGTCCACGTATTGGATGAAGCATCATACGTTTCACAACTTGATAATAGACTTCCGTTGTGCCCACCAATGATCATAACTTTCTCGGATTTCAATAGAACCGCTGCGTGTCGAGAACGTTTTGATGACATATCCGGAACGATTTTCCATGTGTTGCGTGAAGAATCATACAATTCACATGAAGAATATATATTACGGTCAGTTGTTTGACCACCCGTAATTAACAAATGTCCAGATGATAATAAAGTAGCAGTATGTTCATGACGTGGTATTGACAGACTTGGCAGCACTATCCATTTATCGGACGAAGAAATATATGCTTCAAAAGTCGAATAAGAATGTACAATACTTGTACCACCTATGATTAAGAGTGTGCCGGAAGGTAACAACGTTCCAGTAAGTCGAATCAATAAAAATGGCACTACTTCAATCGAGTTCGAAGTCGTTTGTGTTAGTATCGATGATTTGATACTGTTTTGTGTAGCTTAAACAATGGAAAGAATATACTTTCTCTCTGTATTTTTAATAGGTTTTATAATTTTTGCATATAGAAATCACCTTATATTTCAAAATTTTAAACTGAATGCTAAATCAAGGAATAGGTCTGAATGAATGGTGTATTTTTGTTTTTGAAATACATTATTTTCCTCTTTGAATATTTCTAATTGAATAGTGATGCGAGTGTGACCTACTTACAGTTACACTGCTTAGCGATAGATCCAATGAAATGATTTCCACAATCATTCATTGTAATTGATGCTATCAATTTTCCGTGGTAGCCACCACAATAGGGTAACGTAGAAGCCCATCTATTAAATTTGACTAAGCAAATTGAAGAACAACTACTCATATAATCACAAGAACATCCTGTTGACCCTGATTTCGTACATTTCGAAGCTATTCCAAAATTTTGAACCGTAGCACCTGTATCGTAATTCCGTGCAGAACAGTAACATATACCATTACTTAAAACGGTGAATTGAATAGAAAACAGTTCTCAATATAAATTAAATCCTACTTAGTTGAATTTCGAAATTTCATATCATTTCCGTCGTCCTTTATACGACGATGCAAAGCCCACGAATCGCTACACCCAGTTACGAATAGGAGACAAACGAGCAAGTATTTCATGATTTAAACGATTGAAATGAGTTATCTTCCACGCGTTTTTCTTTTGTTGAAAGCCGACATATTTACATAGTAGAGCGACACTGTCACTATCTTGTTCTGCATTATCAATGTGTCGATTACAAACTTGAAATAAATTCGCAAATGGGACAAGTTTTTCGTTAATTTAATCTTTTCTCGCTGAATATAGGTCACTTGTTGTGCGTGACGTATTCAAATTTCAAGAACATCATCTAGTCACAAATATATAGTATACACGGTTTTTATTTTCATTGTCTTGTTTTACATAATATCTGCAGCAAGCTCTAGTTAGGCCATTGTTAACAAATTTAAAAAAAAATATCTGAAAACAAAAACAATTGAAAATAAACATTGGATAATAAAAAAAAGAATGCATAACAGAGGTAGCTAATCTAGACAATATGGAAAAACGTTCACGCTTTTCGTTTCATAGTCTCTAAATTAAGATATTCAACTTCAACTCTAGCATCATAAATCACATCACTAATGCCAATACCACGATATGAATTTCCAACAAGAGTCAACGGCAAATTATTACGTCGAACAAGTGTATTAATATCATCAAGGACATCTTCATGGCCAACATAATAATTCTAAAAATAGAAGACGAAAAAATATTTTCCCGCATACTTATAGATGCATCCGATTAAAAGGAGCATTCACTACTTTTACGCAATTAAGGGATCACGAACACGTGCCTCAGGCAATTTTCTATTACTTTAAGAATATCACTTTTTCGTTTCGTCTCTACTTCAAACTAATTAAGAGAAATTCAATTCACATACGGGTATTGCTTTATTGAGTCTTGCTATAGAGTAAAATAATGGTTTTTGATCCAAATTCATTTGTTTTTTTAATTCAGTCGAAACAATATGCATTAATTGTTCATCTGAACATTGTCCTAATCTCAATTGATCAAACCATGCTCCACCCATCATCACAGTTAATTGTGATCCACGTTTTTGTTTATCAGTCTGATGTCGCACACATGAATCAAATAAAACTCCAAGTAAATGTGAATTTTCGCGTGACGGAATTAAATAGCCGAATGCCGCTTTTGGAAATATATCTTCTCTTTCATAAAGTAAATTAATAACAATCATATTAACAAATGGTATTTGATTTAATCTTGAACGTAAAATTTCATCACGTTTACTGTCAAGATAATTTGCTAATTCAAATGCTGGCAGAGCACTTATTAAATGATCAATATGATATTTTTCATTTGATTGTGTTGAAATTTCAATTTGAGTATTTTCTTGAAATTGAATTTCTTTTATTGTTTGATTCACTTTTAATTCAACATTCGGTAGCGATTGAAGATGATTGACTAATGTTTTCACGAGTATTTCCATTCCATCGTTAAAATAATAAATTGCATATTTATTTAAAAGTGTTGAATAATCTTTTAAATTTAAATCATCAAAAAGAAAATGTACTGGATCTTCTTTTTGTTTATCGTTTCTTGTTTTTAATAAACCATGAAAAATAGAACCATAACGTTGTTCGAGATTGAAAATCTTCTTTAATACACTTCGTGCACTTAAATTTGAAACATTACCAGCGTAAATACCTTTAAAAAGTGGATCAAGTAAATACTCGACTATATCTTCAGCTAAAACATGACCTAATGAATAGATAAAGAATTTTTAGTTTAAAAATCAAATTTTTTCTTCTATTTCTTAGCTACCGAAACGGCGATAAATAAATGATTTAATAGTTTCATCTTGAACTGGAATTCGACCTTTTTCAGAAAAATATTCATAAAGAGCATAAAAAACTGGCGGATAGCGCAATGGTTTTCCACCGAATACTAATGATAAATCATTGAGATTGATTAATTTTTTATTATGATAAATAAGTCGATTTTTATATACGGCAGAAGTTTTCTCAATAGGACAAAATTGACTATTGAATATATTAAGTTGTTCAAGTAATTTTAATGTATTAATTGCTGAATGACTACTCAATGATGCAACGCCACTATGCAAACGTATTGTTCGTGCACCAAGTTCAAATACATGTGAATCATATTTTGGTTCAAGTTGATTCGATTGTATCCAACCGCCGAAACGCGATGATCGTTCAAGTAATAGAATACGTAAATGAGGAATTTTAGAACGTGCTACTTTTTGTGACAGATAGTAAGCTGACGTAAGACCAGCTATACCACCACCGACAATACCTATTGTCGGAATTTTTTGCATTCTAGAAATACTAAACGTACAACATTAAAAAGAGAACCACTATATTATATTATGTGCTAGCAATCAGTGGAACAAAGAACCAATCGGACATATATAAAAAAACAAAGAGGGCGTTATAGTGCGTTTGATTAATTTATTAAAATCTTGGCTCATGATTTGGTACACAATAAAACCTTATGGCAGCTTTTCACGCACAAGCGCCACAAAGAAATAACTGCATTGGTATTATTTTTTATAGTTGTGTTGTTTCAATGCTAATCTACCTAGTAGTACACTCTATAAATTTTAGCTCTCGAATAATCACGAGGTGAAAAAAAATTTGTCTTTTTAATGCTTGTATATCATTTGCATAAATTGTATTCAAATTAACTATGCATGAATGATTGATAATTACTATTTACAGGTGACAGCGAACAGCACGGAGAAATAACTTTTTCTCAGTAATTTTGTTTATTTATATTTTATTTTATAGATCTCTCGTGTTCTTTTTGCTTCTGATAGATTAGTCCAAATTTTCTATTTTTCAACAGTTCTAAAGTAGATTTCTGTCTGTGTTTAAATTATAAAGTGTACAGCGGCTGAAAAGTTCAGTCATTTTCTTTGTTGTAGAAAAAGATTAAGAATAAAAAGTGATAATTTTCTGTTTCAAGAGAGAAGCATAATGACTCTCGTTCTATTATTTGTGAGTTTTACTTGAATACCACTGCACACGCTCCTTCTAGTATTGCTCGAAGTACTGGCATACATAATCGTGTCTTTTGGTCAATTGCGTTCGTTGGGTTTACTGGGATTACGATTTATTTTATTACTAAGAACATTTATGACCCATATCAGCAACGGAAACATATCAGTTGAATTCATGTTTTATCCCCTTTCCTCCATGTTGTACCAATGTAATTTCAGTAATGAACCATGTTCAGCGACGGATTTTATTCCATTTACGTCATCGATCTATGGAGTCTGTTATACGTTCAATATCAAGTTGAAAAATACTAGTGCGAAGCCGCTTCTCACTGCCAATAAGTACGGTGGAGATGGAAAAATCTCGTTGAATCTCTTCGTGCATACTCATCAATATATACCATACTTTAAAAACGGTGAGTAGAATCATGTTTTCATCAAATCGAAAGGTTTTTCTTCGCTTAGACTTTGGCGCCGTCGCTTTAATACATGACAATACTGAACTGCCACTAATCGAAACTAGCGGCATAGAATTAGCACCAGGAAGAAAACGTAAACTAGGATATCGAAAAAAGGCAGTATATTTTTTTATCTCCACCCTACGCAACGTGTACTGAAACGATTTCTCCCATGATGCAAGCCATGTTAGATAATTAGAACGGTGCTGATTATCAATATTCTGAAAACGTCTGCTATCTACTTTGTAGTCAAGTCTGTGCGTAAACCTGTTCCATGAGATACGACCAAGACAGTGACTCATATGTTTCCTTACATTTATAGATACGAACAGTGTGGTTGCGCCAATCTTTATCTTTAGAGTGACCGTGCAATTGTGGTACCAGGTACAGAAAAAATGATAGTTGCACCAGTTTGCGAATCCACAGATCAATGCTATAAGAAAGCAATTGAAGATCTATTGCTTTCATCCTGGCTGATGAATAAGTATTGTTCTTATTGTTCACCTCAGTGTTCAAAAGCCACTTTTATTACACAAAAATCAGGATTATCAACGCCAGCAGAATGACAAATGGATAGCATCAAAGCATTTGTGAAAAATTCAACGATCCCTTCACCCACGAACTGGTCGACCACTTGGCGTGAGCATAGTACGTGAATTGAATATGGTCGAAAATGTTACACAATTGACCACTCTTAGTTTCGTAGATGTACTTTCCAATGTTGGTGGTCAAACCGGTCTATGGATTAGCATTAGTTTTCTCTCTATCATGGAATCAATAGAGATGTTATATCGACTGAGTGCGTGGGTGTTAGAAGCTAACATCATTCTGTATTGTGTTTGAGAAATACTACGAGTATAATCTCAAGGGTTTATAAGTATAGAAGGTAAGAGAATAAACTTTAAGTATTACACATTCAGTTTTCAAATATTGGCCTTGAACATATTTGCTCAATTGCATTGCAAGTCTTCCATGGTATTTGTTCTAGTTATTTGTGTGCATGTCGATATTCGTTCGAAAGTTTTGATCCATCATAGCAAGATTGATAATATAAAAGCGCCAGTTTCAAGTTTGATTCGGCGATTTTTTCAACTTTAAATATTTTAAGGAAATTTCTGAATTTTTGTAGCTCAAATTCTGGTGTCACTTCTATAATTGTTGTTGTAACGTTTCGCTTGACACTCATTCATAAGTTCTCGAGTTCTACATCGATTTTGATTACTAAAACTGGTCTGTTACATTTCTAATAGAATAGTCTTTCAAAAAGAAATCTTTTCATAAATAGATAAATTTGCAAAGCTTGTTTTCTTTTACGATATCCTATTAAAACTTTTGATTAATGTTTTTATTCTTCAAAGCATTTCTGAACATTAAAAAAAGGTTAGATTTTCGCAATATTTCTCAAGTATTCAATTCATCTCAAAAGACACTTCGAAATTTTCAAAAGCTAATAACTCTATTGTTTGACACGTATTATTATTTATAAATTCTTTATCAACGTACTAAACCATTTGCGGAATTTCGTTAAAAAAACGAAATAAATACTTGAGGACTGCTACTTCTTTTTGGATTGTTTATTTACTCGGTTGAATTGGGTCCGACTGATACATTTTGCATTAGTACTTGCATAGGTGACTGTGCAGTTAACAGTTTTACTTCAATGTCTGAAATTAATGGTTGATCGATTAAGGAAGAAGCTATTTAATTCTTATAACAGATGATAATTATGTTGTGTAAAACATAAAAAGCTATTGAAAGAGAAAACAAAGATTGACTATTCAACTAATTGATTAATCTTTTATTACTGTTGATAATTACTTAAGAATACTATGTTTTTAATTTTTCGAGCGATGTTTCTTGTCACTGGCAACATCGGTTAATAATTTTCACAGTTATATGTAGATTCCGAGAAATCCTATCGATGGTTTCGTTGATCGCGGAATTTACTCATTTGCCTTCTCTTTGCTTTTATTCTCGACATCAAGTGTGCATCATTAAATCATGTATAATAACGAAAACAATCTTCTTAACTATGATACAAATAATCATTACATTTAAAAAAGAAATACTGATGAAAGAAAATAATATTTCTCTTTTTTGTTTAGCGTTCTATGTATAATCTATATTGTGAATTGAATAATTTTAATTCAAATAGCATCTAAATTAATTATTAGAAAAACAACTCTCTCATTCGAATGGTCTTGAATTTCGTATGTTAGCTGATAACCTCTTCAGAGTTGTATTATGCAGCCTCAAATCTAGAGAGTGCCTCTTCTATGCATATTAATACCCACACTGCGAAAATTTAATTATTTAGAAGGTCGACATTCTCAAATGAAAAAACATCTAAATTCTCTACATTCAAACGTCGTCATCACCATTGACTTACTACAAAGGGAGCAAGTGTTAGCATCGATTGCAAGAATACGAGATGGCATGAACGCTCCAACTCCAAAAGAGAAAATTTCAACATTCATAAAGAAGTTAAACAAATATTTCTCATTTCTTTTCATCTAAGCAATTAACGACAAGTAAATCTTCAGCAAAAAAAATTTAACTTTTTCACTAGAAAAAACAATTACGTCGTACACACGCTTTCATTCAGTTATGCACGTCATTGTCGACTTCAATTCTATAAAAGATTGAAAAGCGAAATTTTATTTCGGAATAGATTGAAAATTTTCCAAGATATAACAAAATCAGAACATTGAATATAATATTTAAAAGAAAAACTATGTTTGATATTTTTATTGAATGGAGTTCTATTTTTCTTTTTTCTTAACGAAGAGAAAATAGCTAAAGAGCTTTGTGATATTGAGTATTCATCTAGCGAGTATTTTAATTTTTCTTTCAGCCGATGTTACAATAAAGGCAGATATGTAAGTTAAACAAATGATCACAATGTAACATAGTCATTTTTGCTTAGTTAGATGCACATGAAATTCGATGTAATTGAGCAATATTAATCAAAAACTAGGCACTAGCAGAAATACGTTTATTTCGCATGTTGCAAATGATTCACGTGATTGTTAATAATACAATTCGCTTTAATCTTTTTCTTATGAAGAAAATAAAGATAAACAAAAGTCGCTCTGCCAGTGAAGATACAAGAAAGATATCAGTGCTCGCTAAAATTTAAGGAAAGAAAAATAAACTCACTTTATACAAACAATCAGACGTTACATTTTCGTTGAAATATGATCGATAGAATATTTTTATCGTAAGTAATAATCTGCTTCATTTGGTTCGTTTTTTCCTCATACTGTTTTTAAGAAAAATTCTCTAGAACAATACTCTCACATAAAAGTCAGTTTTGATTATTGTCGCAATAAATTATATAAAAACATAATCTGAATGGAAGAATGCGTACAAGACGTGCTATTTCGTTTATCAAAAATTCTTTTCTTTTTCAGACATCGTATAGGGATGTAAAGATTCTTTTCTTTTCTTCTTTTCGCTACTTTTTGACCATTTTCGGATGATAGATAAGGAGATATGCACTTTTTTTTTCTTCGTCCGTGCCATTATCATATGATTAGTATCAAAAATAAAATCTACATATCGCTACAGAACGTTTGGCGAAAGAAATAACTTACACCGATACTCATAATATATTGTTCTATTGTTTTTCATTACGCTTTTAGATAATATTCTACACTGAATTTAATCTGTGAATCAAGAACGAAATGAACAGTCGTCAAATAATATTCGATATTACTAGTTATAGACCTTTGTATGGTCCACGTGAAATTCCATTCACCAGAATAGCACATAGTACACACCTAAAAGACAAGTTAATAAAAATGCTACGCACAGTATCCGATAATGGACCCGGAATACATTTTAAGGGAAAAAAACATGATGACTATGGTAGATTACCGGTTCTAAGTTGGTGGGGCATTATACCTGATAAAGATTCAATGCTTGGACATCCAGTGGCTCATTTTAATTCAAATCGTTCAAATACTTTTAAACGCACCAATCGTTATGGTCCAATCTGTTTTTCTATACCATTAAAAAATGTACCAGGTGAATTCTATTGTGGTGGCACTCGTACATTTACACATGAATATGCTCATACAACCATTATTAACATAAACAAGGCATGTATTCCAGAAATATATCCGAAAAGTAAATTCCGACGTGATTCAGAAGTAGATGATCGAAATACAGCACTTTATTCTATTATTCCTAAAAAATTAATTAAAACCTATGGCAACAATCATTATTTATGGCGATGTTATCGTTGGGGTAATAGTGAAGATCCGAAAGAAATCAATTATCAATGGGATCATCCAGAGTTTGCAATTGTTGCTGGCAAAGACGGTTTTGATTTTACTGCTGCTCAAGGTTTACGAATACATTTTGTTGACCATAAGAAAGCACTTTGTGTGAAAAGTAAATCTCCATATGATGAAATTTGTGATATGTGTTGGACGGCAAAAGAAGCTTGCACAGAATTTGTACACATTATACATGAAAATGGTATGATATTTGAAAATTTTCAGCCGTTTTTTGAACAAGAAATCTGGAATAAATTGGTTATGGTTAAGGATAAACTTTATAAATCACTTCCTGATTTTGATGAAATTGTTATGGATGGCACCGAATAGCATTTTTTTAATCTTTTGTTCTTTAAAAAAACATTTTTTCATTGTATTTGTTTTCAGTTGAAAATTTTATCCATTTCTTGATGTGCTTAATTTGTTTTTAATTGAATAATCGAGAATTCCTTTTATTTAATAAAGAATATAGAAAAATATCGATCTTCTTTTTGAATTATTAGCGAGAATTCGATTATGTTTGCGAAATGATAATTACTCTGCAGCTAGAGTCTTGTCTGAACAAGAGAGTATTTACAGGTAAAAGAAGAGCTTGCTATCCGTTTCTTTAATTTCCAATAATGTATATTCATGATGTTGACACGTACATAGATACATAAAAGAAAAGAAGAAAGAGAGAGATCAAAAACAAAATGTCAATTATGAATTAACATTGATATACTGGTGTTGTCCAATGTAAATGTAATTCCTGACTTTTCCGTATTTTTTTAATATTTAAAATCTTTATTGTATGAAAACTTTTTTATGATTACTCTCTCTTTGTTTCAATGTTCTCTTTCATACAAAATTTTGATTTTGCTGTGTCTCCGTACAAATAAACTATTTAGAATTCATTGTTTCTCTTTTTCTCGATTGTAATTTATCTTATTTATTATTTAGAATTTTTTTAGAGATCTCCCGTTTCCATGGTGTGGGAGTGAGCTATGTGTTTTCTCTCATCACACTCAAAATAATTATTTAAATTTGAGTACTGAAATCATATTTTTTTTAAAATTCAGCAATATCTCTTGTTCTGTCACATGACATGTTTAATGTGTATGTCTTATAGGATAAAGAGTCATATTTAACAAACACACGTATACATAATCTTGCATTCAAAATAATTAACAATAACATATAATTCGTCGCCTTTCAATTATACAATGAAATTAACTCTTCCTATTGTATTTTTTAAGATATCTTTCCAGAGCAGCTGTGAGATATACTAATATGAAAATTTTCTTTGCAACAAAAATTATAATGAAAATCGCTGTATCGAATACTAATTACATGTATGTTCGTCGAATCGATGTTCAATAATAATTCATGGAGAAGTCTGAATGTATATAGTTCCTGGTAAATATACATGAGTGAAAACAGATGACGTATAACTTCAGAACTATCACGAATATTTCTATTATTACTGAAAAGCACAACGGGTTTGAATTCGTTTCATCCACGTGAGTTCATCGAATAGACAACGGTGTTTGTATGTGTGAATGAGTGATTTCTCATATCGCGAAAACCGATCGAAAATCACCGGTTAACCGCGATTGCGTAAGCTATTATAGTAACTTTACAGCGTAAAATGCGACGTAGTGCGGGTGTCGGCGTGATGAAAAGATCAACATCCACGTTCGCATCCATACCCACCCTTTTTCATAATTTCATTGTCATAAAACTCTAAATTTTTATTTATGAGTCGACTACTCTACGAGTTAATCCATGAACATAAACATAAGTTGCGATGAAATATATATGTACGTATCTATCAGCTTATAAGATCACATGTGTTTAGGAAGGTCATTATAATTTTGTTTTTTCTCTTTCTTTTGTTTTAATGTTTTTTTATTATTAATTATTTTCTGAATTTTTTTTTTATAATTAATTATTTATATTTTTAAGACGTTTCGGAGATATCTTTCTCCTTCTTCAGTTTTATTTTATTTGGTGTTATGTTTGTTTTTACTATTTACAATACGTATCTGACTATTATTTTTCTTTTTCTTTTCTTTTTCTTTAATAGTGGAACGGAACGTCAAAACATATAAGTTTTACCGGCCAGTATTACCGTCTTGTCATTCCGTTCCACTGTTAAAGAAAAAGAAAAGGAAAAGAAAAATAATAGTCAAATACGTATTATAAATAGTAAAAACAAACATAACACCAAATAAAATAAAACTGAAGAAGGAGAACGATATCTCCGAAACGTCTTAAAAATATAAATAATTAATTATTAAAAAAAAATCAGAAAATAATTAATAATAAAAAAACATTAAAACAAAAGGAAGAGAAAAAACAAAATTATAAAAAAAAGCTTATAAGATCATATACCTGTCTACTTGTTTACCTACATAACTAAACATCTGCTTATCGTTCGCATTATTATCAATGAACGACCTATATTAAATAATAGCTGACAAATTCGCTTGAAAATATACAATTCGAAAAGCCTCGCGTTTATGTATTAATATTGCATTTAATATAAAAGATTTCTTTTCATTCTCACTGTTGTCCTTATTTCCTTCTTACTTTACTCAAATAACAAAACAACAATAAAAATAATAAAAATCAAAAATTACATTTAAAAATAGTTTTCTTTTTTCTTGCTCAATCTACAATTATTCTATTTAATAATATCATGTTCATTATTGCACACGCCGTCTAAGTTCTTATCATCTATTTTCAATAGATTGTATGGCTAGTTGTTCATTCCTTTTGGCACAAACAAAATAATGAAACTGAAAAGTACAGCATATTTTTCTCTCTTCCTAAAAAGAACAGCAACAAAGCCAACAACTGAAATCAGCTAACGTAGATCAGACGGTAACGCAGAACAACAGTCAATCAAGGTAAAATGCTGACAAATGTAAAAAGAAGTAAAAAATAAACAAACAAAAAATCTAAAGATGAAACTATAAGAAACGAAAATAAAAATTCAGAATGTCATTTCTTCAGACTACTGTAACATTCATTCTAACTGGACTCCGATATATTTTAAGTGTGAGCATGAAAAAACTGCATTTTGCTCCTAGAAAAATGTAAAAAATGCGAACAATCAACAGCTATGCAGCATTGAAAAAGAACTATTTAAATAGCATTTCATCAGTTCTCCTTTCCTATCGTTTACACAAGCAAAACCATTCAAAAAAAATGAGCACGCCAATGAAAAAGACTAATACAACAGCAGCTTCCGAAAAATCCTTTGTAAGTACAAAAACTGTATCAAATGATCCTATACGATCAAAACGTTGCATGATTCAAAATTATCTCGTAATTTGGGCCGATGCTAACATCGACCCGAGTAACGACGATTGCCAAAAGGCATTAACGCAACTTCAGAAGGTGGTTAGTCAATTAAACTTTTTCACTACACTGGCAGAATGCATCGAGTTTCTGAATCGGCTCGACAAGGAAAAGGTTTTCCTTATATTATCCGGATCTTTCGGACAGACATTAGTACCAGATATTCACAATATGTCACAAGTAGATGTTATATACATCTTTTGTGGTAATGAGACACGCCATAAAAAGTGGGCCAAACAATGGTACAAAATTCAAGGTATTTTCACATCGATCGGGCCAATTTGCAAAGCACTGGCGAAGGCTGCCTATCAATGTGATAATGAGAATATTTCAATGAGCTTTGTATCGAAACAAGCAATTGAAATAGTTGATGGTGATTCGGAAAAAGGAAATCTGAACCAGTTAGAACCATCATACATGTACTCGGTGATATTCAAGGAAATCATCCTTAAAATGGAAGATGATAATGCAAAATCTTTAAAAGAGTTATCAAAATATTGCCTCGAACAAAAGGTCGAAAAAGATGAAATTGATTATTTCGTGCATGAGTATGACAAGAAAACACCAATATATTGGTATTCATGTCAAATGTTTATTTATGGGATGCTTAATCGTGCCCTACGAACACTTGACATGGGCACTATGGCAAAATTAGGTTTCTTCATTCGGCACTTGCATCGTCAATTGGAACGACTACACGAAGAACAAGTTGGTCAATTTCAAAAACAATTTCTTGTTTACCGTGGACAAGGATTATCTCAAGAAGATTTCAACCACCTACGCGAGATACAAGATGGTCTCCTATCGTTTAACAATTTTTTATCAACTAGTAGTAGGCTATTTAATAATTTTGTTTCCTTTTTTATAATTATTTCTCCCTGTGGAACATAGTAAGCACGCATTATACTCAAGTATAGCACATAAATCCGTAATTATTATTTACTTTATTCAGATTAATCAGTACTAGTGCATTTGAATCGGATAAATCATCATCATCATCATCATCGGAATTAGCTTTCAGAATTTATGGTAAAGTGACACTGATCTACAGTACATATTTGTGATAGATTATTGAAGGATGCGATTAAAAAGATACCAAACTAGGTGAATTTTCAGTCATATTCTCAACATTATGTATTGATACTTGATTTAATTGAAATTGTATTTGACAAATAAAAACAAAGCGACACATCGCTACAAATAATATTGGTTAATGCATCTTTTATTGACGAGAAAAACGCAAGACTCTTGAAGAAGACCATAAATAATCGCTTTGAATCCACGACTTTTTTAAAGTGAAAATATAGAAAAAAATGAAACACTTGTTCTTTTGATTTGCTAAATTTTCAACTGAATAATAAAGATCATTTCTTTAATAGTCAATTTTGATGAAGTTCTGACTATCAATATGAGATACATTGCTTTTTTTAATCATTTTAGGATTGGCGGTAATCATAATTATTTAATTATCTCAATTGCTCATATAAGTGATATAAGACATACATTTGTATCCACTTCCCTTCTTTCTTTCTTCTTCTTCTTCTTCGTTTTCTATCTTATCCTCTCTACTGTTTCCTATTGTTTCTCTGTTCTCACGCATTCTCTACCTATCGTCCTCTATGCTACAGGCATTCTCTGCTATTCTCTCTCTAGTATCTGATGATTTTGGGATATTCTGTACCTTGTATTTCTTATTCTCCCTTGCCTCTCGCCTACACTTTCCCTATTGTTTCGTGTATTCAGCCTTTTCTCTTCTACTATGCCTTTGGTTCTGGGTTTTCTCTCGTGCCTGTATCGAAACAGTAAAAGACAATTCTTAACAAACTGTACCTTTTGTATCCTCCTGTCCTTATATATGATGTATTTGTTGAATGGAGCTAAAAGAACAAAGAGTGGCTCTGGGATTCGCAAACGATGTTCTGGGGAAAAGTCCCACAGTACTTGCTGTTCTATTTATTGTGACTATTCATCCCAGTAAAATTACGCGTACAACAACTCCATACGCGATGATCAATGATTACAGTGCTTTTCCGATAGAAGAAGAAATACTCTTTACAATGCATACAGTATTTCGGGTTCGAGATATTAAACAAACAACTACAAATGATCGACTTTGGGAAGTACAGCTTACACTTACTGACGATAGTGATCCACAATTGGCTAATCTAACTAATTGCATTAAGAAAGAAATCGATGGCACTGGGTGGCATTCAATGGCTACATTGATGTATAAAGTGGGTGACTTTACCAGAGCGGAGGAACTGTACAATGAATTACTGAGTAACAGTACGGACGACATAGATAAAGCGAATATCTATCATGGATTGGGTTTAGTGTATAAAAGCATGGGTAACTACTTGAAAACACTTGAATTTTACGAAAAAGCAATGAAAATAAGAGAAATAATTCTGCCTCCAAATCATAAGAGTTTAGCTATTTCTTACAATGATATCGCTGTAGTGTACGAAATCATGAGTCAGTACGAAAAAGCACTTGAATTTTACAAAAAATCAAACAAAATAGTGCAAGAAATTCTGCCCCCAAACGATCCCGATTTAGCTAGTTCGTACAACAATATCGCTTTACTGTATGGCAACATGGGTGACTACTCAAAAGCACTTGAATTTTACGAGAAAGCAGTCGAAATAGAGGAAATATCTCTACCTCCAAATCATCCAGATTTGGCTGGTACGTTTAACAATATCGGTCACACGCATAACAAAATGGGTAACTACTCAAAAGCACTTGAATTTTTCGGAAAATCAAATAAAATAGCACAACAAACTCTACCTGCAAATCATCCCAACTTGGCTACTTCGTATAACAATATCGCTATGCTGTATTACGACATGGGTCACTACTCAAAAGCACTTGAATTTTTCGAAAAGTCAAATAAAATAGCTCAACAAAGTCTACCTGCAAATGACACCCATTGGGCTATGTTGTATAACCGTATTGGTGAAACGCATAGCAAAATGGGTAACTACGTGAAAGCACTTGAATTTTTCGAAAAGTCAATCGAAATAGAGGAAATATCTCTACCTCCAAATCATCCAGGTTTGGCTATTTCATACGACAAAATCGCTGCAACATATTGTAGCATGGATAAGTATTCAAAAGCACTTGAATTTTATGAAAAATCAGTGAAAATGAAAGAAATAGCTCTGCCTCCAAATCATCCCAATTTGGCTGCTTCATACAACAATATCGGCTTAATGTGTAAAAGCATGAATAACTACTCGAAAGCACTTGAATTTTACGAAAAATCAATGAAGATTATCGAAACAACTATGCCTTCGAATCATCCTGACTTGGCTACATCATACAGCAATATTGGTGGAGTGTACTTTGCGAAGGGTGACCATAAAAAGGCAGCAGAATATCTTGATCAGGCCCTCACAATCCACAAAATGTCTCTACCTGCTTCTCATCCTATTATACAAAGGATGACGCAAAGTGTCAAACAACTGAAAGAGATGGGGTAACTTGCTTTTATTGCTGTTTTCTTTTTGGTAAAGAAATAAACTTGCCTGAGTTGTAACTCTCAGTTTACTGTTTGTGGCGCGCGTAGGACTCGGCAAAACCTGTGATCTGAGTGCTACATGCATCCACGGAGCGAATCCCGGCGACCTAGTGAGACAATGTAAACTTTAGTAAGGCATGCAAATACGGCGACAGTTACCTAAGGTGTTGATGTAACGGCCTCTACTAGTAGTGCACTGCTGTTACTGTAACATAGAAGAGAGAAATTGAAATGGACCTAATATTAAAAATCCACACTGACCGCCTTGTGTTAGAATCTTAAACTCAGTTGTAAGACTCAAAACTAAATTACTGAATAACTCAATTCAGTTTCATTTTTAGATAGTGCTTTCACACAGCTCCGCCCATATTTACATCGACTTTCTGCTGACATGATTTCACTACGCTAGCTTTATAGCTCGTGTCGAGTCGTGCAGAAAAACATGTTTGGTTTCCCTATGAAATCATGCGCTAAGTCCTCCAGAGCAAGCTCAAAATCCAGGTTTTTTCCCGAACGCTCTTTGAGTAAGCTGATTTCGTTCCCTATTCCATTCATTTCGAAATCTTAATCTCATCAATTTAAAGAACACAAAAAATTGTTCTTGTGTAGAAGTTTCCGATTCGTATCTGGAAAGGCCTAACATCCGCAATTTTAGCTAAATTCGGAGCCTCTTGAAAACCTATATGCGAACGTAGGAGTTCTCATGTATTTCAACCAAATTAAAGCCCAGCACTGCCAGTTTGGAAAACCTGAACCAGATTTTTAAAACCATTCCTCCATGGAAATAAATGGTTTCCGAAAACCAAGCATCTACGAAAATCCGACATTGGGTCTGCATTTTCTCGTAAATTACACGTCAAATTTTGTTTAAATTCTTTTTGCGAGTAGTCCTTAGTCAGTACTAGCTCCCCACTAAATATGAGCCTCCCATTTGAGAATTCTTCAACTTGTGATTATCAGATTTTCGGAAAAAAATCACCTTTTCATTCTAAAAGATTTCCCGTAGTGATTCAGAAATCAGCCATTGTAATCACGAAAACTAGGTAACTTTTGATGCTGAAAATAAATACACCAATATGTGTCTTCGTTTGGCAGGTGAGTCTTCTCAATAAAGATGCAGAGAATCATAGAATTTCGAAGATGAGCGCAGCAATGAAGGCCGATTATATTGAGCGGGACGCTCCATAAAAGAGCTTCAGCTAACAAGCTCTTCTCTCTTAGATTCGTTAGAAATTTGAGCATCGTACTTTCATTAAATGTTGCCTGCTAAGACTAGCTCCTAAAGGATAAATTTTCAGTTGGAAGGGTTTTTAAAATGTCACTTGAGCTGTTCTAAAAAGTGAGTTACAGTTGACTATTGGATTAATGAAAAGTAGGGATTTTTACAGCCCATGTACGATAATCATTTCTGTTAGGAACATCTGAAATCGAAGACTCTCAGAGATCAACGCTTTACGATAAGCAGGATTCAGATCAAGTTTGGTTATGAAGCTTTTCCATTAAGCATGTCGGGTCACGATTCGACTGTGAATATATTTTATCATAAACATGTTTAATCCTAAAAGAGGTTCAATCGGACGGTTTAGTGCAAGGCTAGATTCAAAATTATAGTGCCCCATCAGCGTTAGTTGTTGCACTGATCTTCGAAATTCTTTGATTCTCTACATCTTCCATTTTCAGACTTTTTTTCTAAAAATCTTTTTCAATGTTCCAATAGTAATAATAAACTCATTGAGTGACTCTATCATTTTACAAAACGAAAAGGACTTCTCCTATAAATGAAAGTAATTCAAAACATCGGGCTGGAACACTATTGAAACGTACGGCATAGACTGTCATCCTACCCTTGACTCAATCAAGTATTGGTCCTGTTACTCACATGACGAATACGATTACTCGAATGAATGATAGCTTACGAATAGAATTATCCCATACGGTAAACTCTACATTTATGCAGACAAATACAACACAATCGGAGCAACAAATATCATCGACAGTCCCTCATGTAGCGATAAATATGACTCTGGTTGGGTTGATATTTTGTAATGACAAGCTGGATAGAGGTGAAGTAGCTTACAGCCACTCTCGGCAATGATGTTTATTTGCTTCTTCACATATCCAGAGAGTAACAACGTCGTATATAGCACACGTATCAGAGTTGCAACCGGTAGGTTTTTTTCTAGACCGGTACCGGTACCGGTCTAAACCAGTCAGACCGGACCGAACCGACCGGTAGACCGGCATGAGTCATAGCTGTTTTTTTTTTGATCGCATATGAGTCACCATTGATTTTTTTTCATTTAATATGAGTCATATCTTACTCTGAATCGCTGTACCAATTATTTAAGACTTTTCCTTCATCACTAAGAACTACATTTTTGATAAATATTGATTTACTATAAACAATATATCTCAAAATTTTTCTTAGAAATCGTCATCCATGTCAGAAAAACTAGCTTGATATGCAAAAATAAACACTTTTATCATCTATTTTTGCAAAAAAATAAGTGAAAAAAGCGAAAATAATTTAAAAAAATCTAGACCGGGTCGGTCTGAAAAAAGTTGCTTGTACCGGCCGGTATACCTACCGGTAAGGAATCCTAGACCGGACCGGCCGTTTACCATTACCGGTTGCAACTCTGACACTTATATATAGGAGAGAGACATTAGAACAATGGAAAAAGAACAGAAGGAGCAGGAAGGAGAGTTATCAAAGCGTGCCATCATTATCGGCACACCTCAGACATCATTTTTGACTATGCCCCGAGTTAAACGAACACAAGCATCATTCTTGAGAACAGTCACAGGAACAGAACGTCGACTTTGTATATCGAATATATTTACTAAATCAACTGCTTTAGTAACCACTATCAGACCAATTTTAGTTACAAATCCAGAAAATGAGACTCAACAGGGCACTACACCATTATTTTTTTTTATAGTAACATCGCATCCATTAACACTCGAATAAGAATGTCATGTTCATCACTTAATACACAGGGGTCGATGTTATTACTTTTATGCTCTATTTCTTTGACCTGCTGTTTATTTTGATTATTTATGATTATCCCATGTTCTACTGTGTGCATATCCAAGTTCAAACATTAGATCTCATTTGTATTTTCGATCCTATGCTGACTTAATATGCATCTTTATATCTTCACAAGTAACTATTTCGAGCGTTTAATCAGAATCCAAGGAAAATTATTTGCAGTTTGCATTCAAGGGTGTTGGTGTGGATGTGTAGGTGAGTGAAGCGGGGCTCCAACCACACCGCGACATCCCCACACCCACGCTAACACCCTCAATTTTATCTTAAAACGTTATTAGTGATGAAAACAGAAAAGATCGTTAATGAATATTTAATGTTGACAGTGTCATAAGGAATAAATCGATTTGATTTTGAATACTAAACGTTCGGTTCGTCTACTTGCTTTTTGTTTATCTCCCACAATAGCAGATCACTTAGAAATTGACGATTAAGATTTACAAAAGGAGGCATTGAACATATGAAAACTTCATTAGCGAGATCGTATGTAACCAGTACCGGCGGTTGATCTTTATGCAGCCACCAATCAGTCAGAAACTGTTGTACTAACTGGTTCATATTGATGTGGCGATCGTAATATCGAATAGCAAATTGAAATTTTTTGAGACATTGGCATGAGCGAAATAATGCTTCGAGATCTTGTCCATAGAACTTTTGTTTACCAGCACGAATATACAATGTCAACTTTTCGAGAGATGATCGATAACACTCAATCAATCTTTGAATCGACCTAAGGCGGATGCCGAAGTTACCACGATTACCAATGAATAATTCAGTTAGTTTTGTAGGTGAAGTGATATGAGATGCAATAGTGGAATGACTTGAATCATCATCATTTGAATAAAGATTAAAAATTCTGAGAGAGGCCAAATTGGGTGTAATTGAACATAAACAGAGTAAACTTTCTTCATCCCAAATATCGATAGTTAAGCGTACGATTGTTAGATTAGGTTCCATATTTAAGAGCGTTCTTATCTAAAGAATTTGTTTTTATTTTTTAAATAGCAATTATATACAAGTTTCTTGTCACTTACTTGTTGATTGTTGTCAAGCTCTAGATTAGTTTCAGACGATGGCGTGCATTTTTGAAAAATGTTCAAACATGACATAATCGCGTGCATAACGGACGAATTTTGAACATTGAGTGTCGCTGCAAAATATATCGAATCAGTAAGTATAACTGAACGAAGATTTGACCACGAATATGTAGCTGGAAATGTATTTGGTACTAATTGTATATCAACATGCGCAGCTTGAACGGCATGAGCAATGTATGGCAAGTAATCATTAAGAATCAAAGAGTCTTCGTCAAATGAAACCCTAGCATGTGATATAAATTCGAATGCCAGTGATCGAAAACGTTGATTTAAATTGAAAAATGCTTGTAAATATTCGGATAAACTCAAATATGAAGCAATGTACAGCAGTATTTCGTTTGGTAGTGTTTCAAAACAACTATTAAACAGTAAAGAAAGACTTATTCGAATGATCAATACAAAATTAAGAGATTTATCTTTTGTTTTAACCTTTTAGTTTCTGGTATACAGTTGTTGTGGCTAACAAGTGTAGCAATATGAGTAGATGATTCCGCTTTGCAATGAAACAAAGATGAACACGGTTAGATATTTTATTTAGTACAATACCCGGATTCTGTTTAGTGTCTTTATTGAGTTGATTGATGGTCGAATCAGCCATGAAATGTATTATGTTAAGTCTGACGCTTTCACCCTATTGAAATCTTTCTGTTGAGGAAGTGAATGACTTTCAAATGTTTTGTAAAGAAAGAAAATAAAAATGAGACCGTGCATCATGTGAAATTTATGATTCATTGATCTGCTCTTTAGCAGACAGGCAGAATGCCTCTTTTTTTTAACTTACACTCGTTATTTCAGGAAGACCTCAACATTTTTATCTCGCTCTGCCTACTCCCGGAAAATCAGGAGAGTGTAAGATGGATAGTTCGAGCCGTAAACATAAAAACCACAGCAATATCAGTCGATTCTACAAATAGATGTCCCAAGTCATCGATTTTACAGTTTCTTTTTCTTTCTGTACAACATTTGTTTACTTTATTTTTGTCAACGTATGTTTAAATTCTAATAATTTATTTCTTTAAAAATAAAAAATAAAAAATAGTTTCGCTTGCCCGTTTTATGGTGTATATTAAAGAACGTGAATTGAAAAATAGTCATCGATTGTTATTATTGTTGATATTTAACACATCTCCACAGTGGTATGGCATCGAAAAAATCCAAGACGGATACTTTCATTTAAAAAATAATAATAATTTATCACTCATTTTATGCTGCTCGAAATGACTCTTAAGAATTAATTTTATCCGACTTGAAAAAGGACATCTTTTATTAGTGTTTATGAAACATTGAAAGTTCAACTAGCAAGTGAAATTACTCTTTAGGATCATCGTGCTTGATATTTTTATGATCAATGATGGAAACTGTGCTAAACTTTCCAATCAATGTTATCATGAACATAATTAGAATATCAACGTTTTATTCGTACAGCAACTCACTTGGTGGTGTGGATGTTGGTATTTTCATCCCCCCCCACACTCTTTTCTGTTACGGATGAGTCAATTAAATCACTAATTGGCTCTTCTTCAATGGAGAGATTCAAAGAAGACCGCCCACGGTACCAATGGCAGCTCGTTAGAGCTGACGTTCGTTTTTATTATTGATAATATCGATCATACGCACACATATATTTCATGTCAATAGGAGAGAGAAGAAATGGTAAGACAGAAAGTGATATAGGAAACACAAGAGAATATATCGAAGGACCAGTGATGAAAAAGCATCGCTAACACGAAGTTATACTCTCAAATTCAAAGTTTATGTTAAAAGTAAAATGAATAAATTGATAGAAGCAATTAATAGAGTACTAAAAGATTTGTCGCACGCACTGGAAATTAATGTTTTGACATCATTCGCTTGAATAATTCCGATTCCTCGTTGTTTTAAATATTCAATTTTACGTTTGGCTGAATTAAAAGCAATAGATCCACTTGCATCTTCTATCAGATACGTTGTATAATTCAATTCGAATGCGTCAAGTGCAGTTCCACCGACACAATAATCTATTGCCAACCCAGCAACAAAAACATGTGTAACATTGCGATCTCGAAGTTTCTTATCAAGATCGGTTTTTTTAACTCGATTATTATCCGCAAATGCTGAGTAACTGTCGATATCAGGATCAGTACCTTTTCTAATATGAATAACATTGTTACTTGCTGATGGAACATAAAGATCTTTGTGTAGCGCTGCTTCTTCAGTGTCTTGTACACAATGTGACGGCCATAGGATTTGTTTTGTTCCGACTTTTGGACCAGTGTATATGACTTCATCATACATGTTTATCGTTCGATTTTGATTGAATTTTAAATATTTTCTGCGTGAATTGAGGTTATCAAAAAACGAGATGTGATTTCGAGGATGCCAGTCATATGTATACGCAATAACATGAAAAGGAACGGTTCGAATTAAATCATTGATAATAGGAACAACTTTAGCACCATCTTGACCAGCAGGAGCTTTCGACAATGCAAGATTTCCAGTAATAAAGCAGTTTTGAACGTCGACAACAATCAATGCGTTGACATGGTTCGATGAACTTCGACCTAGAAGAATCTAAGATTTATAGGTATACACAGAAATGTAGTAGTCTGTAAACTGTAGATTTTCTTTAAAAACAATTTTCCTACCCACACCCATATTCAGGATAACTCGGAATTAGCGTAAAAATAAAAACTGATAGATTCCGCTTTTTTCAGTGAAAGCTTGTAACAATTGCAAGAAGAAAACGTTTTTAAAGATATTTGAAATGAATAGCTTTTCGAGTTCTACAATAATATGTAGTTATACGACATTTGGAAAAGAAGCTTCATCGATGGAACACACACTGCGTACAAAGTAAGAACTTTTGTTATATCTACGAGTGAAAAGTTAGGCTTCGAAATTTATTTGGATACTTATGGGTAACACACGGTTGAGAAATACATAGGTACGATACTGGACTACCACTGGCTTCGAACATCCTATGAAACTTATTCACAACGTTTTGATTTCGTTTCACAATATGTTCTGCACAACACCTATTGTTTTTCAGTGTAGGATAGTATGCACTGTTGATATTACACTTTTTTTGATTTTCTTCTATTTTCACCTTTTGATACATTGCCTGCTGAAACAGCAGAATTTGAGTTCATAATCGTGATAATGGCAAAGACCAATAGATGCATTGACTCCATATTGAATGAAATCGTAATGAATTGAAAATTTCCAGATGTTTTGGAATTGATCAATGCAGTTAATTTTATTAATTCTGAAAAAGTAAATACAGAAAAGTAATGCGACGAATTTTGAGAGAAAAAAAATGGCCTTTGTTATATTTGCAATATGCGCTTCATAAGTGATTTGTGTGAAGATGAAATAGCATACGTCATTTCATTCATATGATTTTACTGATAACGTTTACTTTACTATTCGATAGTTAGCATTTTTCTTCTTTCTGTTATTTTTAAGTATTCTGATATATTATCTGTTATATTTTTAACTGGCACTTATTGCATTACACGATTTCACTTTTCGAAAAACGTAAAGGGAAATTCTTTGTAACATTCCATGCTATTTTTATTTTATAGTTATGTTAAAAGAAGCATAACTACTACTTTTTTTGCTAGTTGTCGATATTTGCATTTACTTAAATAATCATCACATAAAGAAGCTATCAATCAAATACATATGAACTCTGTTTCTTACAAAGCGTTTATTTATTAATCTGGTTAAGATGTTGCATAAAAATTACGCCATATGACAAATAGTCATCTGACAATAGTATGTTGTGATACATATTCCTTCATAGGAACATTCATTAACATCAGTACAAATAGCTTAATTGGCGAAACGGAACTTGTATGATTAATTTTTCGAACAAGGGAACAGATGAAATTGATACTTCACTTAGCAGAAACAACAGTGAACAACAATCTGACCTATAGAGAAAAAAGACACATTTCCAACGTAAAGCCATATTTCAATGAAAACTACTTTTGTATCACAGACTCGAAACAGTTCTCCGTCCATTAGAGAGCATGCAAAAATAAAGACACACTGAAAACGTTTTTCAAGAAAATAAATCATACATACTACGTAGTACGAATAAGTTTTAAAAGTAATCGATAAAAGTTCTTGATCAATACTAATATGTATATATATGTGGAACGTATGGTAAAAGGAAAGGAAAAATCATAGAAAATACTATGTAAACAACTGATTAATTATGCATCGTAGTCGATGTAAGTTTATAAGACCATGGGAAAATGCCATTTGTCCATATGTTTATAAATGCGGACAACGTGTTAAAAATAAATGAAACTAAAAATCGCCGGAAAATACTTTATAAACAAACAGTTAATTATCCATCTTAATATATCAATAAGTTTTGAAGATGAGAAACCTCAGAGAGAATACTATTAACATATATATATATATGTGTGTGTGTTACGGGCTTACCGTCACATATTTTTGTCATTTCTTTTCTTCTTCCATCTAGTCACCCACCACATCTATTATTCGCCATACATATGTTGTCTTCTCAACGGAGGATATATATGTATATACAACATGTTGTTTGTTTCGTTGTCAGTTATCGATTTTTAGTAATAAACGAAGGGAGAACATCAACCCCTAATAATGTGTTGATCGCATGTCAACAAGAATTAGGCTTGAACCGAAGAGAGGAATGTTTATTATCTAGTTGTGCATATATCGTATCGAAGTTACACCGCTTGACAAATTTTGAATTTCTAGAAGAAAAATTTTGAAGTTAATTCTATTGAACTAAATAATAAGTTCATTTTCCAGCTTAAAAATATTTTTTACCATTTGTTTTACAAATTAAAAAAAAGAAGTCAGAAATCCTAATAGTAAGAATTGTGCTATAAAAGCGTTACAAAGATCCTTTCTTCTTCTTCTTTCAATGAGTTTAAATCGAACTATGTATTATCATTTTTACTAATATCATCAAGCGCACAGAATACATCGAAGAAAAACATTCCTATAGACAATCAGGAAGGAAGAGGCGAGTACGAGAAAAGGAAAATATCGATAACATTATAAGATTAAATATAAAGAAGCTATTGAGTTTAGGATTAGTGGTGGCACTTTAACTTTAAAAAATAAAGTTAAAGCAAAGTTAAAGTGCCACCCATATTTCGGGTACTTGTATAATGAGAAAGTTTCAGCAGGGCAACCGACGTGGATTATTTGAAAATTTTCAGTACTTACAGTGATATAGGTACTTTCTTGGGTACACATGCCAGTATTTTTACTGTCTAAATACTTCTGTGAGTAGTCGCATATACATTTTTACTTAGGCAAGTCCAACAGGATATCCTAGTTTTCTTTATATAACGCATATTTAGTGGAGAAAAACATTAAAATACATTTCAGCATAAAAATAAATAGTATAAATTTAAAACTATTTTGTACAGTTCATGTCAATGTTTTCGAACTTCTTTGAATATTTAAAATATGTAAACAGATACACGATCGACTATTCAGTTTATAAATGCGTGGCATGGAAGAAAAATGGAAATGTATGGGTTTATTAATGAGAATTGATGTAATTAAATCTTATCAGAAACTAAAGTATCTTATCATGGTATCTTTGAGAAATATATTTGACTTTTTGATTCTTTTTAGTTGTCTTGATTAAGTGATCAAATTTTTTTAATATTATTCTTTATCATAAAAGTTCTTTGTAAAACTGGTACTTTTTATTAATTGTGTTAAGCACGTGCTATATAAATACTTTATTTCACTTTTATTATTAAATTCTTGAGAGTATGGCTGTCAGTGTGGTTGTCCATGATGATAACACCCGCACGTAATGCCAAACACCAGCATCCACACCCTGAAGATATAAATCTCGCTCGCGTTGCTACTTTCCAAGTTGGAAAAAAAGAAAATAGACTCGCGTCAATCAACAGAATTTATCGACCATTTAGTGCCGAGTATTTTTTCTTTTTCCTTCGCGTGGCCGAGTTTACTTTTCAGAAAGAATCCAGCCAGACAAGCGTTGAAAAAGGTGACGTTTTTACTCGTAAAAAGCGTACATTTTTACGTGTTAAAAAAAGAAAATTTTGTTTTCAGAGAAACTAGTTTCATAGCGTTAATATTTACAAAGCGTCATTTTCTTCAAAAAACAATTTTTTTTAACGCATAAAAACGTTGGTTTTTCAATGATTGCTTGACGGGGGAGCGTTTAGATAAATTAACTTTTATGTTCTTCTTCGAGCAATGAAAAAGCTCTTGAGTGCGCCAGAAGCACAGCGCAACACAATTGATCAGGCATCAGAATGATTGAAGGTAGTTTGAGCTGCTTAAATATGGCGTGCCGTAACGGAGATCTAGATGTTGTTCAGCGTCTTCTACCTTTACTTACATTTGCTGAAATCAATCGGATCAAACCTAATGGTAGTACAAGTATCCACGCCGCTTCTTATTAGAGTCATACAGATTGTGAAAGCTTTCCTCGAACATAGCGCAATGCGAACCATACTCAATAAATACAACTGCACGCTCTTCGACGAAGTCCAGACAGACCTAGTTAAACAGCTATTCCATCGCTCAGCTACTGCAACCACAGCACGATTTACAAGTGATACATCGACTCAAGCGCTACAATGGGTCCAGACAGAACCCATCAATCGGGAAATGATTGCGTCTCTCAATCGCATGGTCATACATCGAGAAGGTTGCGAGGTGAAAGGTTTTGTTGACATATTCTATGAAGTGGAAGAGCTCGACGACAATAAAATACTTCACAATTCATCGGACTTGGTCGATATCCGATGGTTTCTCGAATAAGCTCGAGAAATAGACGATACTGACTGGTTAGTCAAAGCGTATACAGCTGAAACAGGTTTCTACAAGGCAATTAACTTAGCTCTGGTACATGATGTCCATAGTTTTCGTGGCCAGTCGTGGAGAGTAAATCCAGGCCATTTTATTCTTGCTGCTTGTTTCGCTGGGCATAGGAAATTCGAAAAATACCATTATGTTGGAATGTCATATCGTGGAATGAAACTATCACGGGAAGGTCTCGGAAAAATTACAAAGTTGGCGTCACAATATTAATCAAGCCGGTCTAATCAACGTTGAAACGCCGAGATATCGCGGAAGAATTTGCGACAGCACCTTGTTTGTGAGTTTCGACCTCTATCTGTTTTGTGCATCTACGTGACCACAGATGAAGATGATTGACGTGGTAGTGTCTGTAATGGAATAAAACCTAAACAGGCTTTCGCACTCGATACTGTTTCGTTTTCTGAGTATCCACATGAAGAAGAAGTACTTATTCTGTCTCACATGGAATTTCAAACCACACGCATTGAATATTTACCTTCGGGATTAGTTGAAATTGAGCTTCTCAGTATTGACTGGCGAAGGCGATCGCTATTACGGTTATTGACGGAGTCGAACATTTTCATCGTAAGCCGTGATACCAAAACTGTTTACTTACCTTTTTTATCATTGAAAACGAATGATAGTTTAGAAAAACTTACAAATCCAAAATTTTCAATTAAAAAAACACACTGCCCTATCTATCTTGAAGAGAAGACAAATACAATCTGCTTATACTCCATATTTGCTTTTCAGCAATCGATTATTTTTGCCGAGATTTGGATGAACAATCAAATAATAATTTATTATGATGTGTGCCAAAAGAATAATTTTGAGAAATGCATATATTAATTTGCCAACGCGTTTCATGTTGTCTATCAACATATTAAAAAACTCATCAGGGTTCTGCATTACATTTTGAAACACACAATAGCAAACCAAAAGATAACAAATTACGAACAAATAAAATCAACGTTCTAGTTTGAACAAAAACAAACAAACAAAATTAGTAAAACTCGAAAAAAAGATAAAAAATATAATTTCTCTACACTGTCAAGCAATAATGCACAACATCTGAAGGGAAAAGAGTATAGTATGGAAAATGTTTTAATCATTTAAAATATAAATGTATTTGCGATTCACGATTACTTTTAAAATAAATTTGGCTGTAATTTTTGTCATATAACCAGATTATTTTGTTCAAATAAATCATATCGTACTGTATATAATTATTCATCGTAGGTTTCATATTTTGATTTCGATTTTTCTATAATTAACATAATTAATCTATTTAATTTAATACACTATATTGTGACAGGTATATGAGTCTTTATTATAAATTTAGAATTAAAAATTATGTAATTATTTTCATTTTTATAATTTTGAAATATTTAGAAAAAAATGTGTAGTCCTATATAATTTTCACCATTTTAAAATGTTTTAAAATATTTTCAGTTAATCACTATTTGATTTTTATAACAAGGTTTCCTAAATATTATAGAACTAGTCATTTAAAATTTTTGGTAATTAACTATTTAAAATTAAAATGTCGCGATTTACTTAAAATTTTCCATATTTATTTAGGTTTTCTATTACCAATTATTCAATTTTCTTTTTCAAAATTTTTTAAAATAAGTAAAGCACAATTGAATAAATATTTTCCTATAATTGATTGTAATTTGTTCTTTTTTATCTGCATAAATTATATTCTCTCGTAATGTACTATAATTTTTATTCCATATTGTCTGATTTACAATCATTTATTTGAAATATACAATTGAATTGTTTCTCTACATAATCACCAGGATATTTATTTTATAATGCTAGTTCGTGACGTTTTTGGTAGTCATGCACAATCACCAGTAGAACGTGTCTAAATCTACTTATGACGATGAAAATTTGATTTAATTCAATGAAGATACTCGATACTAAACAATCTGTGGGTACCTTCTGTCAAGATAAAAGAAAAATTTTTTACTAGTGATAGGTGATTCGAAATGATCTTACTTTTAGTTGCGTTCATCTCATTATTTGCGACAGCAAAATTTCAATATTATCTGTATCGCTTAGACTCGAATCATGATTGTTTATATTACAGGGTACTTAATCAAGACATGTTTTATGTGGATAACGAAAAACTCGCGGAAAGTCCTTATCAACTGATTCGCTATTGTGGGTTTCCAATAAAGATAGAAGGAAGTATTTTATTCAGTTATTCTTTCAAAGATTTAGAAAAACTAAATATTACTACGCACGACTTACTTCTTTGGTTTGCTCCGATCGATTTGGTCGAAGACTATCAAGCATATCTTTATTTTCCGTCATCAATCGTCGCGTCGAAAACGTTCAACAACTGCAGTTCACTTTGGTTTGGAGACCAGTGTCAATACACGTTCGATTCTAATGAACCGTTCAGTACGATCGTGTTTAAAACGTTTCATGCCAAGGAGAATGTTAGCAAAGACATTCCTCTACAAAGTATTACAAATCTAACATGTTATATTCATCTTGAATGTAATCGTGGAGGATCACCACTTTGTCTCGATTGGCGAGAAATATGTGACGGACGTATTGACTGCTTGAACGATGCTGCCGACGAAAAGAGCTGCTTCGAATTGGAAATAAACGAATGCAATGACGATGAATATCGGTGTCATAATGGTCTGTGCATACCAAGGCAATTCGTCAACGACAGCTTTCAGAATCCAGATTGTTTGGATGGAACAGACGAGTACGATAGTGAGAACTATAAATTTCATCGGCAGGTTGGCTTTTTAAATTGCTTCACAGAACCAGCATTCCACTGTGAAGAATCAGACTACTATTTTGGTCATCGAGGTTTTGTCTGTGGGGACGGACAACATATTAGGATGTTAATGCCACCACCCCTTGAATTTCTCAATATTGAACAGGCATTACAATGTGCGAACGGCCGTGATTCTATCATGATGCTTTCGAGCGCTCGCTTGCGGCCTAATTCTACCAATTTCACATCGCAATGTCAAACAGCGGTCACTCTCTTGACAATGGGAAAGTACAACGTTGATTTCGTTAAACTTATGTGCTATGGTCAAAAACTACCTTGTCGTATTCCAGTCGGTAATTTATGCAATCAAGCAAGTTATATGCTGCTTCCAATGTTATTTGTCACTCAATATTACGCACAATTCGGCTATTGGATGAACAAATCATTTATTTATCAAACCTTCGAAAGTTTTCCTACACCAGATTTTGTCTGCTACGATGCACAATTATGTTCCATAGGTGTCCCAAATCTTTCAATCGAGAATAGGACCTGTACAGATCTGAGTGAAGTTTCTATATTTGATATTCATCAATTTATCGGCGTTTTTCATACTTGCCTACTGTATAATGGAGTGCTAAACAGTGACGATTGCTCTGATCAATCATTATTTCACTGCTCTGGTACTCTCAAATGTATTTCTAAACATAGGCTGGTTGATGGAATCATAGATTGTCCAGACGGGAGTGATGAAACCTATGAGCTATCGTGTGATTTGAACGATCCATTTCGTTTTAAATGTATTTCAGAGAATAAATGTATTTCTCCTGTACTAGTACGAAATATAATAGTGGACTGTGTTGGAGGTGAAGATGAACGTAATACTTATACGTATAAAATACCATTTCAGGATCTTTGCGATGGCTATACGCATTCTCCATCTATGGTCATTGATGGGCAGAACGAAACAGACGAAACAAACTGTAATCTTTGGCCGTGCAATAATCTTTATACGCGATGCAACTACGCTTGGACATGCCCAAATGGTATCGATGAGATCGACTGTAATCCGCTATCGAAATGTTATCCTGATGGACATGAGTGTGTGTCACCCATAAGTCTTGAAGTTATTTGTTTGCCAGTTAATCGTACTGGAAATGGAGTAGTCGATTGTCTTGGATCTACAGATGAGAGACAACATTGTCGCGAACAAAATCCAGATAATCCAACTTTACGCTATCGATGCTGGAATTCTACAGATTGCGTGCCAAGCAACTGTCATAACTCCAATCAATGTCCCGTTGAGCAGATTCAGTCTTTTTGGAATCAATGTCAGCAAGATCAAAATATTGCCCGTGTCATATTCAGTTTACTACATGACATAATGCTTGGAAGTGGATTTCATTCGAATAATAAATATTTTATTTTAGACAACTCCACTCGTTTTACGATGTACACATCGGTTACCAATCAAATTCAAATAGATTTAGCCTCTTCTACTGTAGATATCAATACAAATCCATCGAAACGTGAGTTGATAACAAAAACGATAAGTTTTAATCAGGCTTGGCTTTGCAACCGTGGTATATTAGTTTTCCTTGGACTGGATAAACGAGAACATTGTCTATGTCCTCCCAGTTACTATGGGGATCGGTGTCAATTTCAGAATGAACGCATCAGTCTAACCATTCAATTTACGAAGAAATGTGCTCCCACATGTGATGGAATGTACAGTATTATATTGAAATTGATCGATGATGAAGAAACAATTCACTCTTACGAACAGTTTACACATATGTCGACAGAAAAATGTAATACGAAATACAATATAAACCTGTTGTATAACACTCGTCCTAAAAATATAATGACAAATTACAGTATTCGAATTGAAGCTTACAATAAGATTGATCTTAGCTTTCACAGTAGTTGGAAACTTCCTGTTCAGTTCTTATTTATGCCTGTACAACGCATTGCAAGTTACATGATGATTCCGGCAGAGTTCACTTCGATATCAAAGCGTTGTCAGGTTCATTGTGGTGAACATGGACGATGTGTAACATATGTAAATCGCGACGAGCATTATTGTCATTGTGATTCAGGTTGGTCAGGTCGATATTGTTCTATTCATCTCGACAATTGCTCATGCTCTGTGGACTCACTCTGCCTTGGCCAAATTAAGAATCAATCAATATGTCTATGTCCCAAAGATAAATCTGGCTTACGCTGTCTCATTCATTCAAGTTGTCAAAATAATTTGTGCCAAAATGGAGGAATTTATGTGCAAGAAGATGATCGAATATCAATCAACAATTTTACATGCATCTGTGCTACAGGCTACTCCGGTAGCCATTGCCAGTTCAAAGACACACAGATTATAATCTCATTCAATGGAGTCAGCATTCCACCATATTTATCAATATTTTTTGTTAGTGTTCAGGCGAAAACAAATCCTCAATTGACTATGATGACCAGCAAGATTGCTCTCGATCAAGACACCGTTGGATTCTATTTATCAATTCCGTTCAATATGATTTTTGTACACACAAAAGATACATTCGCTCTCGCTTTTTTGAATGTGAATACTTCCAACTCAATCAATATTCGACTTGAGGCAAAATTCTTTCACCGCTGTTCATCCGTTCAGAAACTGTTTAATCAAACAACAATGAATTTCCCATTGCTACGACGAGTCAAGTATTATCACAGTCTATGCAAACAATACTCTCAACTCAGTTGTTTCCATGATACCGATAGCTTCATGTGCTTGTGCAATCAGGACGACTATGCGAACTGTTTCCCGTTCAATTTCAATGAGACTTCCAAATGTAATGGTCAGCTGATCTGTGAAAATGACGGAGTATGTTTTCAAGATCGTGCTACTTGTCCTCGACTGATAATGTGCGTCTGTCCGAAATGCGTCTACGGCGGAAAATGTCAGTTCACAACTAAAGGCTTTGGTCTTTCACTCGACATCATTCTCGGTTATCAAATTCGGCCAGACACGACAATTATGAACCAACCCAATACAATAAAAGTTAGTATGATTTTGACAATATTCATTTTTATGGTGGGCTTGATCAATGGCCTATTATCCATTGTGACTTTTCAATCGAAGACTATCTCTAATGCTGGATGCCAATTGTATCTATTGGCTTTGTCGACCAATGCTCTTATTTCTACGATTGTCTTCACACTTAAGTTTTTGTTACTCATTTTCTTGCAGACATCGTTCATCAAAAGTCGAGCGATTCTGATGATTGATTGTATTTTTATAAACTATATACTCAGATTACTACCATGCGTCGGTGACTGGCTGAGTGCTTGCATTGCAATTGAACGAGCTTTAATCATAATTACAGGTGCTTTATTTAATCACAACCAAAGTCGAACGAAAGCTCGATGGATCATAGCCACTATTGTGTTCCTTGTTCCATTGAGTGTTTTACACGAGCCCATTAATCGCGAACTAATTTATGATACCGTAGAACTGCGAACATGGTGTGTTGCCCAATATTCATCAACCCTGAAAATTTTTGATGGTGTAATGCATGTTTTTCATTTCTCTACGCCCCTCATAGTTAATTTAGGTTCAGCCATTTTGATAATCATACTGATAGCTCGAAGGCATCGAGTTGTGCATCGACAACATGCTGATTACAAACATCTGCGTCAACAACTTTTACAGCACAAACATCTCATTCTAAGTCCGATCATCTTAGCATTGGTCAGTGTGCCGCGACTAGTAGGATCGTTTCTATCCGGTTGCATGGAGTCGTTTCGCGATACATGGCTATTTCTGACGGGCTATTTCATCTCAATGACGCCATGGTTGGTGACGTCAGTAATTTTTATTTGGCCTTCTGTTATGTACAAAAATGAATTGCGTCGTATATTAAAGCGTTCAAGAACAACCGTAGTTAGATATTTCTCCACAAATACAGTGTAAAGATGTGCATCGAATCGAGTTTCATTGGCTGCTTATCTATTTGACTTTTGATAATTAAATTTCGAAACCGCCGTGAATAGGCTTACTTAAATAGTGTCATATACAGGGGGGAAAGTGAGACTGTCTGCACTTAGTCGTACTTTATGTACGTTTGGGCTGTGTTGAAGGCTTGTCTAGAAACCTTTAACACAGCCTGGAAGTACAGGAACGGGGGGGGGGCGGGGGGGGGGGGGGGGGGGGGGGGGGGGGGGGGGGGGGGGGGGGGGGGGGGGGGGGGGGGGGGGGG